GTGGAGGTAGGAGGACATCCTGATGGCAAAAACACAGACGGGTGTATGAGAAGGCCATAGGTGAACAGGACTAATTACAAAAACACCAGGAATGATGGACACCATCCTGAATGCTTCATATAACTGCTTATATTATCTGTATATAAATAGGATGTGCTAAAATGAGCCTGAAATGGCATGATCTCATGTGTGCGTCACTTCTGTGACAATTTCTAAATTGGTCAGTGTCAAAAAAAAAAAATTGGAAAGCCGTTTCAAAGCATGTCTGTACATCACGTGCACAGTTGCTGCTGAATGAGGATAAATAAACCTTGTAAAATAATCATTTAAATAGGCCAAATCTATTGTAATATCATTATTTCTATATGACAAAAAGAAAACTGATAACTGAAATCAAATAGATATCATTAATTGAATGCAGCATAATGATTATGTAAAAAGAGTCACGTTTTCCTTATAATTACTGATGGAAGAAACATAACTTATGCAGCAGATGGTCGGTCTAATTTGCTCTTTGTGATCTGGCACAAATGAATGTAGACTTCTTTGGTGGAGTGAGATGAGACGCACACAGGATTAATCAATCAGTATGGGTTAAATTCTGGATACTCATTTAAACAGAGAGCAGTTTGAGGACAGGAGCTTCAGAGTGAAAAAACAGTGGCTCTCCACCCACATATGACTCATTAATATCAGCCAAATCTGTAAAGTATATGGCTGAAAACAATGAAGAGGCGTGCAGGAAGAGGACAGAGTGAAAGAAGCAATGTTTAACTCATAGAAAGCTTCTGATGTGGTTTACTTGTGTTACTTATAATAAATGCATTACGAGTAAGGCATATGATGTAATCAGATTACTTTTTCAAGTAACTAATTAAAGCATTACTTTAAAATTTTCAACAAAATATCTGAATTAACTTCAAGTTACTTGGTTTTCCATTACTGACTGAAAGCATATTTTAAATTACACATGTATTTAATCTAGCCTTTGCTACTGACCTTTGATGGTGCAATACTAATAAGCAAAAATGACAATAAACATCACATTTGTCACTAAACTCAAGAGATTATTCGATTTTGGAGTGTTGAAATTTATTTAATTTAATTTTTTCTTTTAATTAATTTTTGGTATGTTTTAGCTTACCTCAAGGGCATCCAAGATGTAGGTGTCTTTGTTTCCTCAATATTTTCAATTTTGATATTTTTAGGTCAAAGCGTTCTTGTCTGTCAGTCATATAATGGAGGTTTATGGGGTCCACCTCAAAGATCATGCACAGAGAAGTCCAAATGAAATGATTTAATGACTCGTAAATGTAAGTACACTTTGATGGCCTAAGACACGAAATGAGCGGTTTGTGTGAGAAAACGAACAGTATTTATATCGTTTTTACCTCTTGTAATCACAGCCACGTCCAAGTGATCTGAAGGCACGGGCGCTACGGTCTGCGCAAGCGCTGGAAGGCGCCGGAAGTGATCTTTTGTGCGGTTTCGAAAAAAAAAAGAAAAAAAATCAACGTCGTCTGTTGATATATCGAAATCGTCTTCCATTGCAATTTCCTGTATATCTAAATATGTTTCAAACACTTCTGAAATCTCTGTGTAAGCGAGAGATCACTTCCGGGTCTTTCCGTTGCACTTGCGCAGACAGAAGCGCCTTCAGAGTACTTGGACGTGACTGTGATTACAAAAATGATATAAATACGGTTCGTTTTCTCGCACAAACTGCTCGTTTCGCATCTTAGGCCATCAAGGTGTTCTTACATTTACGAGTCATTAAATCATGTTTAATTTGGACTTCTCTGTGCATACTCTTTGAGATGGACCCCATAAACCTCCATTATATGACTGATAGACAACAACGGTTTGACCTAAAAATATCAAAATTGAAAATACTGTGGAAATAAAAACACCTGGATGCCCTTGAGGTAAGCTAAAACATATCAAAAATTAATTTCAAAGTGAACGATCCCTTTAATATTAGCCCTGTCTGGATATGAGTGTTAACATATTAGCCGGAGTCTGGAATAGTCTGAACATGTCAGCGTTTTCACATAGTCTGAAAGTGTCTTTGAATTAAGTGGTGCAGTTATTGCCAGAAGGTGATTATTCAGCTAACATGTTAAATCCTGTTCTCAACTCAAGCTTAAATAAGCTCAGCCAGTGGACAGAGAATATGACATTTTGCAGTGGGCTCGCTCTAATACATTTTGGAGTGATGGCCTACAAGCTTCCAATGGTTTTCAGAAGATGAACACTTTTATGTAGACCTCATTAGATTGCAATTTAGCAACTAATATGTGTAATATTTTTCCAACTATGTAATAATATAGTATTACTGGAGGAACCACTGGCGGTTGAGTTTTTGCATTTGACAGAAGGCAATTATTTTCTCAAGTAGATTTTTACATTTTTTGTACTTTCACAACTTTACTTTTACTTCACTACATACCATACAGTTTCAGGACAGTTTCTCAAGTCGGCCAAAAACCTGGGCACCATTCCGAGAATACAGTGTGCCTTCAAACCATTAGGCAACCTTCAAAACAGACATAAATATTTAAGTTCGCATCTGTCCTTTGCATAAGATGTAAAAACGCAACGCATTCTCATCCTAGGGTGTCATCTAACTGACACTTTCGACCATGCGTCTAAATCCGACGCACATGGCAACCTTTAGTGTCAGTTAGATGACACGGGTAGGTTTAGGTCTGGGGTAGGGTTAGGCCAATAGACCATTTTGCAAGATTTAAACAACACTGGTCCAGAAGCACTTCCTGTTTCAGTTTTTTAACACTACACAAAAGCTGGGATAAAATACAACCAACAGAACATGTAAAACTGAATCAAAAAGTTAAACAACATCTTTAAGATGTTTTCTTTACATGTGAAATAAAGAAAACAGTTACAAACTGAAACAGGAAGTGTTTCTGGACCAGTGTTTACATCTTGCAAAATGGTCTATAGAAGGCGCGTCTCATATTGACGCTAAAGGTGCCATGCGCATCGGATGTTGACGCATGGTCAAAAGCGTCAGTTAGATGACGTCCTTGGGATGAGAACAGGCTGAAAATCGAGGTCCTGACTCTCTGTGATTATTAAAAATCCCATGGCATTTCTCGAAAGAGCAGGGGTGTAACCCCGGTGCCCTGGCCACATTCCACACATTGGCCCTTGCCAATCATGGCCTCCTAATAATCCCCATCCACTGAATTGGCTCTATCACTCTCTTTCCTCTCCACCTATAGCTGGTGCGTGGTGAGCGCACTGGCGCCATTGCACTGTGTGGCTGCCAGCCCGTCGGATCATCCAAGTGTATGCTGCACACTGGTGGTGGTTGAGGAGGGAACCCCTGATATGATTGTAAAGCACTTTGGGTGTACAGTAGTACATATGAAAGCGCTTATATACTGTAAATGCATTAATTCATTCATTCATTCAAGTTATGTTTTAGGGCTTCATATTTCACCAATTTGAGATGCACGCACAGTTTCAGAAAGAAGGGACCCACTGAGGGGTAATCCACTTTGCATCTAATGGATCTGGGATAGGAACACATTCATCTAGTCAGGTGAGGGAGCTGTGTATCAGTGTCATGCTCTGAAAATGGTGATCCAATTGAGGATGATGCATACCCATTTAAATTCCACAGCAGCTGGCGCTTCATTCCCATAGCCAGCCTCCTCTAAATCACAGGATTTGACCATCTGTGGAAGAGAGTGGGAGAAGCACTGAGCAGATGTTGCTTATTATATGGGGAATTCATGTAATCAGAATGGGGAAACATATTACAGCCTGTATACTGTACCTTCACCTATATGGCTTCTAAATACAATACAGTTATATGCGCTAAAGGACAAATTCACTGTAATTCCAGATCACAAATGTTTATTTTTACTTGGAAACAAGATTCCAAAAAAGTGGGAATCTGGAAGGAGGAAGGAGACCCCGGGGAAGACCTAGGACACGCTGGAGGGACTATGTCTCCCGGCTGGCCTGGGAACGCCTTGGTGTCCCCCCCGGAAGAGCTGGAGGAAGTGTCTAGGGAGAGGGAAGTCTCTGGATAGATCCCGGCCCCGGATAAGCGGAAGAAGATGGATGGAATCCTTTACAGCCATTTTTGAGCCATTCCTCTTGGAACTGGCCAGGTCACTATGTGATGCTGGTGGAAGAAAAATGTTTTCTGACCATCTCCTCCAAAATACCCCAAAGTGGCTAAAAAATATTCAAAAAAAATAATACATCACTTATCAAATAGCATGTGTATTTACATTTGAAACAATTTTGCTTATCCACAATCTGTTGTTTCCTTGCTTATGGTTTTCTTGTACTGGTATCTTATCAGATGCCAGAGTAGATTCCAAAGGTAAAGTGGAGCAAAATATGCCCTTATTATGAGATTTCCCCTTCAGCTTAGTTCTTATCTCACAGACAACAGTCTTTCATACTTGATTTCAGAACAAATGCGACTGGAAGCAAAAACTTTCAATACAACAGGCAGTTTTCATTTTTCAACTCCTTTAATGGTTCAGTTGGTATAGATTTTGGACGCATTTAAGTCAAGGGACGAGGTCGACGGCAAAAAACAACAAAAAACCATTCAATTGAATTGTAAAACAATTTAAAAAAGCAATTCACATTAAATAGTTTAACAGCTCAAGCGAGTAGGGACAACATGCAATGAAGTAAATGAATTAAACGAGAATCCAGAGTGACATTCATATGGTTGCAAAGCTGAAAGGCAACGAACCCAACCTGAAACGCATGTAAGACACGATTGTATGATTCTGATGTTGAGAAACAATGCATAGACAAAACAAAGATTTACAGTTAAAAGCAACCAGATGCACGATCCTGTCATTGGTGAGATAATGCGTCGGTCACGTGGATAAGTAGCCTTGATGACTGAACACATTCAAATACTTATTGCTGATATTAGCGAGAACTATAAAAGCCATTTCCATAAAAGGACAAAGAGTCGTACATTGAGGCTCTCGTGACCATTACAGAGCTACGTGAACATATACAGCGTAGATCACAATGCAGGCATGCGTCATTTCAAAACACTAGGATACAATAATTATGTTAAGCAAGTTAACAAAACATGAATACGCATTAAATACCGAACATGAATTAATGTTACCAAAAAGGTCAGAGGCCAAAACACAAAATCACATTGAAAAAGTTTGGTTTTCAATGATTAAGTTATCATGGGACGTTTAGTGCCCTCGGAATTAAAACAAGCTCATATTATTCATCTTCGTCTTCAATTAGATTAGCTAAAAACCTGTTTCACTAGCACCACTGAATCACAGTCAAATATACAATGCCGCACACTCGGGTCCGAGAACGGCACATCCTGTCACGACGCTTAAGGCTGAGATTTCCATTTGACATGTAAATTTGTGGTTTCATTCGTATTAAAAACATGCGGTTACAAATCAGAGCTGAAGTTTAAAAAGGGTTTGTGTTTGTCCTCATTTTAAGACATTGAAAAAATAAATAAGGACCTAAGACATTCATTAGATACCTTTAGAAATATTTTACATAAAAACACAGTTGGCACAACTCGTTCACTTTTCTACTTTTTTTCTCACGTTCTGTACAAAAATCTATGAAATTTCACATTAATCCAAACATCGAAAAAAACAGATCATGAAACATCAGGTAATTCGTGTACATCGTTCTGCGAGCGTGTGCTTGTGTATGGGCCTCGGTACCCTCCACACCAACATGAATGTTATTTGGATGAAATTATGATGTGAACAGCTACTAAACAATTCAAAAACCTGAAAATAATAAAGAAAATCTACCTGCATGATCCTGTAGACAGTAAAACAAGAAACTACATACACACAAAAAAGAAAATTGTCTGTAATAACAACCCATAAGGCGATTTATATTTTTTCGTAGTTTGACCAGACAAATGAAGCTCTTGGTCCATTAAGTCTCTCATGGGAACAAATATAAAACGCCATTTTAAGGAAGCATGATTCAAAATGAAAAACAACTTAAAAACCCAAATCAAATATTTACCCGCCAGGACTCTTTCTGACTGGTGTGCTGTAAGTCACCAGGTAGTGCGGCCGCAGGGCCCGATAGTGTAACAGTTAGTGTGAGGGAGAAGAGGGGAATGGGGAAGAGAGGGGAAGTGGGGCAACTGGCATGCAGCAGAGCCCCGCCCCTCTCCCATCTCAGGCTCCGCCCTCTCCATCAGTCAACAGTGTTGTGTTGTGTTCAGCTGTAGTGACTCTGCATGGCGAGGGGTCACTGTCTCCTGTCCTCAGTCTCTGATCTTGAGAAGGCCATCACCACGTCCTCGGCTCCTGGGAAAACAATCAAAACCAGTGATGATAGGATCTGCATCAGAAGATAACCGGGTTCAACTGCCCGGTTATTCCATATTCACAGATTATATGCAAAAAAATAAACAACTATTAGGGCTGTCAAACGATTAATCGTGATTAATCGCATCCAAAATAAAAGTTTGTGTTTACATAATATATGTGGGTGCACCGTGTATAATTATTTCATATATATATATATATATAAAACACACACATGCTTGTATATATTGTTTTACGGTGCATGTTTTAATCTTGTCACCTTTAACCTTATTATTTATTATCCTCAGGTTAGGTCGAGTAAGTCAAATCTGCACTAAATCATAAGCATTCAAATGGTACTTACAATTTGTTCAGAAGACTTCTCTGTGCTCAGTTCTTGCTTAAGGTTTATTAACAACACTGGTAGACAATTCTTTTGCAATTAGTATAATAGTTATTTATTAAATGTAATATTCCAGAAATAAAAGTTAAAACTAAAACTAATAGAAAAGTTACAAAATAAAGCAAAGTTTAAATCAAAGGTGCAATCAGCTGGGTTTCTGGCGTCGAGAGCGCCAGAAACAACTATATCATTCAAGTATACATTTATTTAAAAAATAATATAAATATAAATACTTATTTTAAAACAATTTGCACATAGCACTGCCACTCTTCCAGGCTATTATCCTAACAGCTTTATTAGACAAAGAAAATGTAATCTTCACAACGGAGCAAATTACGTGAGCTCGTCCAATGGCAGCAAACATCATTATAATGGCTGAAGAGCAAACAGTCTGTGTGGCGTGTAATTAAACTCAGACAATGCCTTACAAACATTAAAGAAATCTAGGGCTGTGCAGTATACAGCAAACTATTTGTTTTAATAATATGTAAACATGCACAAAAACTATTGTGTACTGAATTCTACAAGTTCCACGTCTCTGAAATCTGCTTTTTGTTTGTTTTTTACCCAAAGTAAAAATTGTTTTAATTAATGAAATTATAACAAAAGGAGAAAAAAATGTGTATTAAGCATGGGTTCAAGTCCCAGTGAACGTATGTACTGCTGAAAATGTATACCTTGAGTGCGATAAAAGCGTCTACCAAATGCATAAATGTAAATGTATTGTGGAAAACCGTACCCAGTGTGCTCTTGGTCAATGCAGTGAGGGTCATGTATTCAGTACAGAAAGTTTGTATTATTTCAAACAGAGCCAAGGTTTCTAAAGTCTGAAATCTGTAAAGATAAGCCTTCTTTTAACAGCACTGACCTCAAATCAATACTACACAATCATACATTCATACAGCAGATGCCCTGATGAGAACTGTGGGGATGGATGTTCACAGTATATCATAATGATCCCATTCATAACAGTTCAAGTAGATCACATTCATTTGTATTGAGAGCAGATACATATAGACCTCAGTTTGTGTTCACATCAACAGCTTAACGTCAGGGTCAAATCAGCATCTGTTTTTGCAGCATGCGGCATGAGACACACGACACCCACATTACCAACCACTGCTTAGGATTTATTTTCTGTGCCGCACCGATAAGAAATGCGACTAAAAGCCTCTAAAAACCGAATCTACTACTGTCCATATCTGAAATACGAGAGACCCGTGAGTGAGCCAAAACAAACACTGCAAGAGATGTCCTTTAAAGACAAAAATGGAACCGGTGGATAGCAGGAAGTCGGAGCTGCTTTTAAAAAAAGCAACGAAAGCGTTTGTGATTTCAGTCAGGTTCGGGCCAAGTCTTATCAAGGGAAGGCTCTAATCAATTCCAATCCTGAATTAACGATCCCGCCCGGGGACGGAAAACAAACCCCTGCAAACCAGGCAAACAGGATTTGTAGGTCCAGCTGTCCCTAGATGAACAAGGATTAATAACAATACCACAAATGTGTAAACAGTAGTAAATAAACTGCAAAACGTGAGCTCTGTCCTGATTATTTTAGGTCAGATAGACGTTTGAAGGTCAAAGGCAGTTTTCTGCACAGAGGAAGGGCTGATGTCGTCCAATATCATATGTTTTGCAACCCAGATATGGACATATTGTGTTTTGACTGACCTAGCTGGAGCTTAATAAGCAGAATGTCAGCATGCTAATTTCCTCAAATCAGACACTCCAGTCCACAGCCTCAATATAAAATGGCCAATTGTATTACCCAGGACTTCTCAAAACACAGAAGAAACCCATTCTACATCAAAAGTACTATTTTACCTTACTAAAGGTCTGTATTTTGGTGAAATACTTTGAATTTCCTAGGCATTATTTAGGATATTTTATCAAACTTAACTATACAAAAAAATATATGCTAAAAAGTATTGCACTGAAAACGGCATTGTAATACAACCTCTAAGTCCGTTTTATGTGTTTATTGGCCTATAACTTTAATACTCAAATGAAGATACTCTTTAAAACAGTCTTGTTAAGCAGGGAGAACAGTGACTTGAAACAAATCAAGAACATTAGCACACATTAGAGAGACGGTGAATTTGATCCAGACAGCTTCAGACAAGTATTAACACCTTGCTGAAAACACTGAAGCTTCACACCCTGTTCACAATTTGTACGTCATCTAATTCTACTGAAAACGGGTCTAGTTTCTAAATGAATAAAACAAATTCTCTCATTATAAAACGTGCAATGTTTTAAATGATAGTCACAGAATCAGTGTTATACTTTTCAAGGAAATGTCTCAGTGCATAATAAGCTGGAATAGGAAAGAAAATGTAACATCCACATGACACATCAACTCAAAAAATAGAAAAGTGTAAGGACAGCAAACATGATGCAAACCAAATAAAACCCAACTGTGATGATGAAAATGAGACTGATGCTGAGTACTGAGACTACTTAACCATCAAGTCTTTGATCCTGTATCATCTTTACTGTTGCATAACGCTTGCGTAACGGCCTGATCATGATCAAGGACGAAGCTTTATAACAACTGACAGGCTACTCTCAATATCCTCACAGTTAAACTGAAAGTGCGTTTAAGCGGAAGGAGGATGGACAGACAGTGGAGGAAAATATCCCTCTCCATCTTCCGCCTGCCTTCGTTAGGATCTCGCCACTCCCTGCGACACACGCTGTGTCAGGATCACAAGCCAACGCGCCGCAGACGTCAGAACCCTCATGAGCCGTCGCCTAGCAACAGCTCAGATTGCATCACAATCCAGCAGGCAGCAAACACCTATGAACAAACAGCATCACATCCCTGTATCACTGCCTCTCTCCAATACTAATCCATTATCATATCACAAAACACCTGTGGTCTATGATACAGAAGGGATAGTGCTTTATTTGTGAAGGTGAAATCTAGTTTCATTAGACGAACAAGCTCTAAATATAGGAACTTAACCTAGATACCTCGATAAAAAGTTGTACACAAATACAAATGAATAAAAACAAAAACAATCACAGTAAATAGATTATGATGAAAGCTGTTTTATGAAGTGGGTTGTCTGCCATTGTAATGTAAAAACATTAAACTGAAATATCGACCAAAAGTAAAAACGAAATACGAAACAATTAATAAACTACTTCTACAATGGGATTAAACACTAAATTATTATGCGGACCTTTAAATCAAAGTCAAAGTATGATTAGAGGTTATTTTCTAAATCTTAACCTGTTACTATTTTCCTTATAGTAAGTCTGTCACCTATGAATCATCTGATAATAGCAATATAATGACAGCAGACAGGGTACTCTTCTGATTCAAAGATGAGGAGCTGTGATAGCAGGCATTAGAAGTGTGCTTAAACATGGCTAGCAGTGAGTGTGTGGGACTGACACACAACCACACATACACCCCCATACACCCCCATCATTCGGTTTGCATCACGACACTTCTACATCTACAAAAACTCAAAAGTAGCCAAAAGTTGACTCACGGTCCCAGACATCCCTATAAAGTTTCATTTCCATTTCAGTGCTAGAGATCTAGCAGTCAAATTAGCTTTAGTAGCCTAGTGCACGCACGCACAAATAGTATTATATAATAAATTGGAAATCATAGTTGACTTTTTTAACCAGTTCATCTTATACTGGTATTTCCGTTACCAATGTCAGGAATGCAGTAACAGTGTTTACTCATTTAGCCCTGCTTCCAGAGAATAAATATGTACTTGTTTTGTTTTGCAATTAATCAGCTCATGCAACCGAATAAATTAAGAATATTATATTAATATTTATTCTCATGATAGCTGTATGAGAAAGAAAGACAACAATGTCTCAGGTCATGAAGGCCAACAACGGAACAAAGGAACAGAACGCCATGTTCGGATGTTGCTAAAGTTATCTGTACTGTTAACCATGAATCAGTCTGTAGAAACGACATCAACTGATTATCCATTTGATTAAGTATTAGTGTTGTTTCCATATAGTTCGAGTCACGATCCTCTTACTTCTTATATATAATAATAATAATTAAAAAAAGATATATATATATATATATATATATATTATCATTATTGTTTATATATTATAATGTATTATTTTTTTTAATTATATTTATTTTTTAAATTATATTTATTTATTAAACAATACAGTATATTATTATGCATATATATATATATATATATATATATATATAAATGCGTAATAATATACTGTATTATTTAATAAATAAATATAATAAAAAAATAATACATTATTATTACTGTTAAATAATAATAATAAAAATAATACATTATTATTACGGTTACTTTCTCCCTTCCAAATGCCAGTGTAATTTCTTTAAAGCAGGCTCTGTGGCTCATTAATTTGCTTATCGGGGGAAATAGACATTTAGACTATCACTACTGCAATTAGAAACGGGTCACAATCTGCTACAGCAGAAGAGGATAATGATGTGAACAGCAGGACGGCGACAGGCCTGTTTAATAACATCTACTGCAATATTATGCTGTGCAAGTGGACCACCTAAAAACACTGTTTCACAGCTGGAAAACAAACCGATTGTTACAATGAACAAAAATGGACGGATTTAGGCTGGGCTTAAAATACCAGAGCCTGAGAGGAAATTTTTTACCCTCTTTAATTTTAGCGATGTAGCAAAAGTAATCAATTCAAACCCTCGTTAAATCTATAAAATAAAAAAATGGCTTGTAGTTTGCACACACTATGAGAAAATGATGTTTTCTGTGTGATTTGGGCAATGACTCATTGGTTTAGTGCTAAAGGGTCTTAAGAGCGCTCTCTGTGTCGCATCAGTCCACTGATGCAGTGCAGTCTGGGATTATTCTGTCTGAGGATTATACCAGCAGACACAAGACAAAAGACTGTTGACTCGGCTGTGTCAGTCTAAAAGATGGATAATACACAACTAACTAATGCATAGCTTTGAACTGTTCTTAAAAAGAGCAGGGACTTAGACAACAAAGACAATAAAAGCTTGTAAATGAGGATGTAAAAGAGCAGCTTCCTTTCAAACGCTTTGTCACACAGACAGGACCAAATGAGTGAGTGTGGTGTTCTCACACCATCCGTCTGTAATTAACAATCCGGCTTGACTGAAGGTCCCCTAATGAGGCCTGTTCCACTCCCTCATCCACACACCACCACGAAGCCCTTGTCCACCCCGCTCGACACTCAATGCCATCGCCATGGAAACTGCCTACTGTACTCACTTTGTTGTTCAGTTCCCAAGGCATCCACAAAAGGGGCGGTAGGCTCTCTCACAGCCTCATTGTCGGCTTTCAGCCAATGATGAGGATCAATCAGAGACAGGCCTGCCACTCGTGCTTCTTTTGGATCCAAATGATCAAGTTACCTTTCATCTAATATGTATATAAAAGTAAATTATTAGAAGAATAAAAATTGTAGCCTATGAACAGGACACCAAATTCACATATTCGCCTAATTATTGCATAAATAAAGAGTTGCCTGATCATTTTATCTATTTCTTCAGGCCTGTTAATGAGTCTGCTTGGTATGGTATAAAGCTTTGAGCTGCACGAACTCTCAACGTTCTCCTACGCCCATCATCCTCCCCCAGACACCACCATCCAATTTCATCCTCTAAACTTCAAGGCCTTAGATGAGATTAAAGTTGCACTACAAAATTCAGAATATGCGTCTATGGTAATTAGCCAATTAGATGGTCCCAAATGCAAATTTGTTTAATCCGTAGACTAGTAAACAGGGAAAGTAACAGGTTTGGAGCATTTGAAGGAGTAAACATACCAGGTTTGTAAACAACTGAGTGCAAAACTCACTGTTACAATGCTTGGGTGCATGGCTGTTGCTATAGAAAAAACAAAAAAAAAGGTACAAAAGCTGTCACTGGGGCTGTACCTTTTCAAAACGGTACACTTTTGTATCCAAAGGCTACATATTGCTACCTTAGTGGTACATATTAGCACCTAAAATGTACATATTAGCTCATGAAATGGACATATTAGCACCTAAAATGTACATATTAACATCTAAAATTGACATATTACCAACTATAATGTACATATTACCACCTAAAATGGACATATTATCTCATGAAATGGACATATTAGCAACTAAAATGTACATATTAGCACCTAAATGTGCATATTATCACCTAAAATGTACATATTAACACCTAAAATTGACATATTACCACCTAAAATGTACATATTAACACCTAAAATGGACATATTCGCTCATGAAATGGACATATGAGCACCTAAAATGTACATATTAGCTCATGAAATGTGCATATTAGCACCTAAATTGTACATATTAACACTTAAAATGTACATATTAGCACCTAAAATGTACATATTATCACATAACATGTACATATTAGCACCTCAAATGTACATATTAGCACCTAAAATGAATGGACAAAAGTTTACCTTTTGAAAAGGTACAGCCCCAGTGACAGCTTTTGTACCTTTTTTTCTGAGTGTAAGTAAGGTGTACAGGGTAGTAGTTCTGGGAGCTCATCCACAAGTATTTATGTTATATATGGTGTGGATCCCACCTTCATGGTCAGATAATCAAGCAAACGTGTCCAGCTGAGATCAAAACTGACCGCAATAGCACAGTCATGCAAATCCTTTCTCTCTCAAAAAGAGAGAAAGAGAAAAAAACAACACAGAAGTGTATATTCACATGCGAGAACAATAGCCATTGAGAAAGAGAAATGGTCAGCATCAGTGGTCCGAGTCTATTCAGTATGTTCGTCTGCACACAAACGTGTTACTGTGCCATCACAGATGAACTCCTATCCTTATACGGTTATTATTAAAGCTACAGTCCGCAGTTTTTATAATGCATGTAGAATTTACTTTTTTGTAAGCATTATCAGAAGCAAATTAAGCCTGCAAAGCTATACTAGTCACTGGGTGACTCATTTTCCAAGGTGTTGGAAGCAAACACAGGCTCCTCTGAGACAGCTGGATACGTAAATAATTCATCCAACTGTGCTATAGTCCCTTGAGATGCAGCACTATTTTGCCTGATGTGAAAGGGAAAGCATTAGTGTGAGAGTGTGTAGAGCTAAAGTGCCATCTATATGCACCAATACTACATAGTCAGTCATCATTCAGAACTCATCGCGTTTTCAATAGCATCCGCTGTACAAAGCTCCTAGATCACTTATCATTTTCCACAGCTCATGTTGTCCAGAGTTGTTAGTCTAATGAAATTTCCTGGAAAGATGTTTTTGCATTAATTTGTCAGCATTACAATCCAAAAACACATTAAATAACAGTACAACCCACTGGAGATGTATGTCCATCCCTCACAGCCTCACTCGTTCGCATTAAAAATCAAAGACGGCACTGCTGTGAATAAGCCAAATCCTCAGATAGCTGCATTGTGATTGAACTACTACTTTGAACTAAAATAAGTGATTATTACTACTACTAAACACACTCCATTTCACCTCAGCAGACCTCTAGCACACAGATCTTATGCCAGAGAATGAGATGTTACAGTTTCTCTTAATGGAAATGGACTAATCTTGGAGCAGCTCCCCAAACACAATCCTTATGGCCCTTGTCTGTGCATTAAACAAAGGTTATTGTTCTTCATTTCATGTTGTTCATTAAGTCTCTTTCATCTCTGCCTCATTAGACTGCATTTGATAGACAGAGATCGCTTTCATCTTAGGGCTGCCGTTTCCATTTCTTTATTCTAGAAACACATCACATCTTAAAATCACTTACCAACGATCATCTTACAAAGATCATCTGCTTAAAAAGGATTTTGAGCAAGAACAATCCCAGATGTACAATACACATCTATATCCATCTATTGTGTGCTACTGCATTATTTATAAAGATCCTTCCAAATCGAGCACTTTACAACCAGGCTTATATGCATATTTAATGAAAACAAAATGTGTGCTCCACACTTTTCCCCCTGTCAAAAACACATCACATTTTACAGAGCATGTGAACTCTATGACAAGGTGCCCAGTTAATGCGTCATTATAGTGTCATTCTCACTGTAGTACACTGAGTGAAGTTAGATCAACTGATTAGAGATAAAAAACAAAGCAAAATAACATTCCTTGCGTTCAAACTGCCTACTTAAAATATTTATGTCATTCTAGTGCCCCCTTGTGGAACAAGCTACAGCATCACATTCTCCCAATATAAACAAATCTTGCTAATTTTATATATACATAAAGAGACAGACAGACGATAGATAGATAGATAGATAGATAGATAGATAGATAGATAGATAGATAGATAGATAGATAGATAGATAGATAGATAGATAGATAGATAGATAGATAGATAGATAGATAGATAGATAGATAGATAGATAGACTGTAAAAAATATTGTTGGTTTAACTTAAAAAATTAAGTTACCTAGTTGCCTTAAAATTTTAAGTTGATTGAAATGGAAAAAGTGAGTTAAAACAATGGAGATTGATTGAATCATCAGAAACTCAAAATAATAAGTTATCTGAACTAAATAAATTAATTTAGTTGATTTGACAAAAGAAAAAATGTTGTGATAACAAATCTTGAAAATATTTTTTTTCAGACAGACAGATAGATAGATAAAATCTAATATATGCATTATCTAAAGTCACCATACCCTAGTATTTATGAAATTTTAACAACAACATTTCAAATAATGGACTAAACAATTAGGAAAGGAAAGACAATACTTCTAATCTTTCAATGCTACCTTATAGTGTTAGTGGTTAAGGGTGGAGGTGCGATGTGATGTCATAGGTTTGGTCAGCAGTGTTCAGGCAGTAAATGTTGACTTACCCTGGTCAATAGGGTGCTGTGGCAACTGACTCATCTGGCTATGCACCACGCCTGCATAATTCCTCAGAAATGCTTCCTCATTTGGTGTCAGCTGGAAGGGTGAGGACAAAAAAACAGATTCACATATGGCAATGAAAATCCATTCCAGTGTATAAACTACTCAGATCAGTTCAAAGGAACAATGAAACGATCACCATATTCAAGAAAATGGCTGGTTTCTATATTATATATATATAGCTTATTTTCCATTATTAATCAAATCAAAGCAGGTTTAAAAAAAAATTACCAAAAATTGTGCAGCTGGCGGAAAAATTATATAACCAATGACTAATTTCTTAATGATGTAATTTAATCTGCACAGATACAATGATTACTTGCTCTAATTATTTCTCACAGAACATTCTTTCATTCAGAAATGTCACATTACTTATTTTAAAAAGGAAAGCTATTTCATGTCATCTTTAAAGCACGTCAGAAGATGTCTTATTCTCACTGGTCTGACACTTACATTTGATCCCATTTTCTTGAGCATGAGCAGCACCCGCACCTTCTGCTGGATGTACATCTCCTCAGGAGACTTGCCAGGGGCTTCCTCTCGGTTCATCCCCCCTGCTCCTGACGCACTGCTGAGCAACCGCACACAGAGCAAGAGAGTATTCAATTATTCATACCTCAAATTTATTTTCAGAACTCACGAGTTGAATACATTCCAGCTTGCGTTTCATACAAAAAAATAGAAGGCCAAAAATTGGGAATTAGATCTAAAATGAACAGCAATGAACATTTCCATAACATCTATTAGGTAACACTTATAAAGTTTCATTAGTTAACTAAATTAGTTAACATGAACTAATAATGAACTGCACTTCTACAACATTTTATTTGATAATTTCAACATTTTCTAGGCTAATTCATTATTAAAATTAAAATGTGTTTTTCTTAGCATTAGTTAATGCACTGTAAAGTAGCATGAACAGCAGTGTTTTTATTAACTAACATTAAAAAAGATGAACAAAATACAAATGCAGTAACAAATGTATTGCTAATATTTAGTTCAGGTTAGTTAATACATTCATGTTAACAAATTAAACCTTATTGCAAAGTGTCCGCATTAAATTAAACGCTACAATAGTTATAGAGGGGAAAAAACAACATTTCTACCAGTACAAAATTACATACCAGCATACATATCTGGCATAAATATCAAACCCATCATAACCTTTGCAGAAAGCTTCTAATTAAGGAGAATGACGGTGTCTGAAGTCTGAACACACTTCAGATCATGGAGCAGGTTGACAGCATCATAAATGGCCCTCGTGCATATTTAATGGCAGATCTAACAGAGCTTTCCCTCGTCTTGCTCACTTCCAGTTCCTAATGACCTATTTTCAAACTTACACTCAATGTGAAACAATTTTGAGCAGGAGAAAAAAAGAACATGATCATAGATGAGAAAGCCACATGCTTAAGCGCAACAGTGAATTTTCAAGACGATCTGATACCTCAAATGTTATTTTCCAGAAAAAGCATCACACAACACAATAAACAAAGAGACAGTCTGTGGTCATATCTAATCCATAATCAATGTGATAATGCATCTCACACCAATGTCATGTGGGAGAAAAAAATGTAATAAAATTCAGACTGGCACTCACAATAAAGCAAAATGAATGACGAGAAATATATTCTGTGGTTTTGTGAATCTGTCAGATTGAATCCTTTGGCGACATCCAGAGCCTGTGATGTCTCACGCCCTCTTATCAGCACAAAGAGCCTCTAATACATGCTGACAGCTTGTTTGATGTGGGGTTAAGCCTATATTTCATTGAAAAGCTGGCTCCGACCCTTCGTTGCACGACAGATACATTTGTCTGGCCTTGACTTTAAGAATGACAGTACCTCCCCATGGCCAATCTGGCGTGTTAACAGCTTACATGTCTGAAGGTAATTAAATGTAAGCCGGGAAAAGCAATGGAGACAGAAAGTGGTATAGAAACAAAATAACTAACCTACATTTCCTTTCACTACAGTCACAGACTCATCAGTCACCAAAGGGCCGTGCCATCAAAAGGGCTTCGTATTCAATAAAGCATGCACTTTATTCTGCTGCGTCTCGCTGGCAGCCGTGGGGGGATGAGGAGTGCAGATGAAAGACACGAGAGCGACCGGAGAGGCAGCTCGGCAGCTCTGTGACACCAGGCACACCTTCAGGGGGAGACCGTTCACTCTCCCTCTCTCGCTTTTGATCATGACTGTCCTTCCTGCTGGAAACCAGACAGCAGGCAGACTCACTGCAGCTCAACTCTGCAGCAAACACCCAAGAAAAGCCTGTGCATTAAAGCACCATTACTTCACCTTTCCAAGACTTGCAAGGTATGAATCTCTAAGAAATGCCCCATATCCTTTCCGGGCTTTAGATCTGTAGCACATCTCAGCTCTGGAACAGGTGTTTTCTCTGAGAAAGTCTGCAGATTTCATAAAATGTGTGGAAACACATTATCAAAATCGCTTGTTAATAGCCTGATTTCTATTATCAAGACTTAAGTGATCTAATGGTGTAGGAGAGTTCACCAAGATGTAAATCAAGGCAAATGTGACTGTTTTCCTGTTATTTTATAGGTGCTTTAATCATCTTTATCTCAATAGACACTTTCAATCTGTAAATGACCCATCTCTGGCATTGTATATAGTTCCAATTCAATAATTTTTTTTATTATAACTGTTATTATTCCTTTTGAGTATCTGTCTCTATTGTGTATACATTGTTATTTTTTATCAATTATGTGTTCCACAATGAAATAATTCAGAGAAAATGCTAATGCTGGTAACCTTGTTTGTAAGAAAAACAATAAAGTATTGGTCAAAAAATTGTTTGTTAATCAAGCCATGACACAACACAAGGTGACTTAAAAATATAAAATGCACTCAAAAACTAATTTAAAGACAAGGTTATGGATGCAAAACATTGGAAATCTGACTACATAAATATATACTTATAGACGGCATATAATATTACGGACCTATAACGTTCTGCCAGTTGCTTTAAAAATAAACTGCTCACAATGAAGCTACAATCTATCATTTTACATGCTATGGGGTTCCCAAAACTGTTTCCTAAATTGATTTCCCAGACTCAGAGTAAAACATTTATGCCTGTTCTTAATATTCTTATTACATTTTAATAAACTTTTGTTATTTATTTATTTATAATTTAATGCAACATCAGCAACATATTATTAGAATAATAAAAGAATGTATATATATATATTGTTTTTTTATATATATTTTTTTTTTAAATAAACATATTAAACACACTGGCATTTTATCACATTAATCTCAAACCCATGTTTGGGAAAACTCTGCTTTAGCACATGTAAATGAGAATAAATATGGAAATCATGTAGGAAATCGCTAGAAGACATAATTAAATATAATTAGTATGAATAGCTAATAAGAAAAAACCTATCCCAGAGATTCCACACACACCTCATAAAGCGACACAGCCAGCATGTTACCTAAATATAATCTTTTTTTCACAAAGAATCCAAGCGAAAACATCAATCTAATCAGTTTTATTGCGGCCAGATGTCATTTTAGACTTTGCCTGATTTCACAGTGGAAGATGTCAAATCATGTGACGATGGGTCCTTTGGGCTGACAGCTAAATATAGAACACCTCTCCTCTGGTTCAGTCATGACCCAGACTGCACTGAGGCTCAAATTAGTGTCAATTGGTTTCCCACAGTTTAATTCAAATGACAAGATAGAGAAAAGCAGATAAAGTCAAAGCGTTTTAATCTCGGTATGGTCACTGGGCGTTATCTCACTGGTGCAAGGTCACACCATTGAGTCAAAGCAACGATACTGCAAAAGATCTGTTCATCAGTGACTCCTGCCACTATCCATGTAGGGAAGGTGCAGAAGCTCTGGAAGGAGATCCACAATCCAGATAGCAGTTCTATTTATAGACTCATCAAGTCATTTGAATCCTCACAAACAGCATGCAGAGAAAGATTCCTCAATTGTTTGAACATCACATGTGACACCAATCTTTGCAGAAGGTCAGTATGAAATATCAGAAGATGCACAACTCCCTACAAAGAGTATGCAAAAAGCAGTGCGTCAAACATTGATGCTCGTGTTGAAATGGGAGCAATTCCCGGCAGCCGTGTTCCAACATCTTAGTGGAAAGCCTTCCCAGAAGAGTGGAAGATATGGGACCAACTCCTTAAGAAATGCAATGCACATGGTTTAGAAATGACGGTCGGCGTGGTGTTTGGGTCTATATACATTTTGGTTTGTAATGAACGAAAAGCAAATCAAATTCCTTCTGTTGACCAGAACTAATCCGGCTCATCAAAATGCCCCCAAAACATAAAAGTTTCAGCTCGTGACTTAAATAATAATACAAAAAACTGCTGTATTTGCAGCCAGAATGTTAACAGTTAGCCACCATCTAAAACACAATTGGCACAAATTGTTTTCCATAGTATACAGATCCCAGGCCAGAGTGGGTTTTTCTATGGATCTTCTTAAGATGTTACATAACCTTTGCCTGTCAGTGAAAACAGAAGAATTATTAACTGCCAAGACTAATTTAACTTCTGTCAGTGAACATGTCATCCTGACAAGCAACATTTTTTCAGTATTGTTTGAGAGAATTGTGAAGCAACAGAGGGCACTGTCCAAGTATGATCAGTTTTATGGCTCACCGACCCATGACTAAACTGAAATCCATTTACATGACCAAAAACTAACCAGGCCAATCAGCATCCAGTAAGTCAGGTTATAATTAAATCCAGACCTGTCCTGACTTTGTTAATCTTCCTCTCCCTAAACTTTCCAGTCTAACTTTGAATAAAATAATAAAATATACGAATTAAGTTAGAGGTGATTTTAACAGAAAATATGGTGTAACTAAATTTGTTTGCCAATATAACCAAAGTACAGACTTTCTATGAAGTCTTGCTTGAGTTGCTTTTGTGCAATGTTTGCCAGCAGATATGATGGGAAACTGCCGTTCACATTTACAGCGTGGAAACAATATCTGACAACAATAGAGATGAGGCAGCCAGATGACAAATAACTAGGTCATAACTTATTAGCAATGCATTCAATCCCTGTATATTCAAAATCATACAGAAAATATGTTTTTTAAACCTTTTTTTTAAATTCGCATTTAAAAGGATTAAAATTCGGTAATCATTTACTTGCCCTCAAGTTCCAAACCTGTTCAGCAGAAGAAAGAAAGAAACCAAATAACCAATACAGGTTTTCGAACTGCCAAGCCCCAAACTAATTTAACTTCTGTTGATGAACATGCCATCCTGACCAGCAACATTTTTTTTCAGTTTTGTTTGAGAGAATTGTGAAGCAGCAGAGGGCACTGTCCTAGTAAGATCTGTTTTATGGCTCACCAACCCTCAACTAAACTGAAATCCATTTACATGACCAAAAACTAACCGGGCCAATCAGCATCCGGTAAATCAGGTTATAATTAAAGCGTGGAAACAATATTTGACAACAATAGAGATGAGGCAGCCAGATGACGAATAACTAGGTCATTACTTATTAGCAATGCATGCAATCCCTGTATATTCAAAATCATACAGAAAATACGCTTTTAAGCCTTTTTTTTTAATTCGCATTTAAAAGGATCATAGCACCAAGATATTACAATTAATTTACTCCACCTCAAGTACCAAACCTGTTCAGCAGAAGAAAGAAACCCATACAGGTTTTGGAACAACTTGAGGGTGAGTAAATGATGATGGGTGAACTATCATTTTATGACAGGGGTGAAGTGCTTTAAACCATACTAAAGATTTTGAAAACTTATTTTGTCAATGCATCATCTCACTATTCAAATCAGTCTAGTATAAGCGTTTCACAAGATGGTTGTTATGCACCAGAGCGCTTGTCATGAATCCCAATACAAAATCCACTGCAGTAAGAAGCTCCCTGTGGGATCACTGCTGCGCCGGCTGTCGGAAATACAGCTACGCGAAATGACAAGACAATTCTCTCCAGAATACGATTTAGGAAAACTTAAACCAAATGGGCTCAAACATTAGGCTATATTTCTACCTGAAATAGGTAGAAAGTCAGCCCTGTCTTCATAGGGTGTGGCTAACCTGTCTGGGATTGAAGATTTAAACCAGGTAGAGGTTCATAACTCAAATCATAACTGCAATTAATACATAAAAAAGAATTTGATATATGTATCTAAAACAGACTTTTCTTTCTTTTAATTAATATTACATTTCCCAAAAAGGACTGAAATTGTTAATAGGTAAAACTAAAAGTTTTGTCTTCAAAGTCAAAGAAAGTGAGCCAAATAGGATTTTGCTAATTGCAAAAGAAAGAATCCACATTTGCAGCCAATAAGGCTGAATTCCGGCCTTGATCATGTAGGAGCAGGCCTGTAAGGCATATTAGACCCGGCTTGTGTTGTGTCTGACGGGACAGAAAGGAGAGGGGGTAGGGGGATGCCAAGCAACACCAGGGGGGCTGGGCTCCCCAACAACAACCAAAAATGTGTTGAAGCTTGGCTTGGCAGAGGTCTGAGTCCATGCCTAAGCTTGTAGCTCAAAGGCAGCTGATGATCTCCCTTTGGGACGCAGAGGTTGAGCGGTCCATGAGACACACCTGCCCCCCACCCTTTACTATAGAGGAGGGTAACCATTTCTCTCGGATTCAAAGAGCTAGAATCCCTCAGGAGAATGTGAAGACTGAATAAAAACAGTTTCACTTCCAAGTTCACAAGTAGCTGGCCCTGCCCTGTCCCGTCAGCTCTCTAAGCCTGGCATAGTTCAAGTGCCCACTACAGGCAGGCTGCCAGTTTCATAGCCGAATGTGAGCCACACTACAGATGACAGATGTATTCTGTATTCACAATGAGTTTAGGGTGTGGGAAGACTAAAAATAGACTATCATTGCCACTAAGACTTGATAAAATGGTAACTTACATGTGACTGAGATTCTTTCTGAACTATGAGTCTGAGATAAACAAACAAACCTATAAAAAAACACAAAAACACAAGAAAAAAGCACTTTTTTCTCATTAAAAAAAATTAAATCAAAGATATAAACCTCCAATCACAATGAATATTCAAACATATCTGTGCATTCACAGCAGCAGATTCACGAGCTGAAAGATAGGGCTAAAGGCAAAGAATGTAAACAGTGCAACGTGTATAGATAATAAACGACGTCATTAATATGCAAATTAGATTACAATTCGATTTTAAGTATCGGTCTACAGCAGACAGTTCGCGGAGTGGAGTCACTCCAGTCCTCTTCTCTCTTCCTGTGGCAAAACCCGCGCACAAATCGTTCATATATCTTTAAAATGAAGAATGTCAGTCAAACAGACTTTCTTTTGTCTACGACTATGGTGTTTAAAGGAGAAAAGTTAGTGAGCGTAAGATACAGGATGTGTTTTAATAGGCAAACCGGACAGTGGGGCTGTAACAAAGCCCTGAATGAAGTTCCCACAATTCCCATTCACATACACACACACATTAGCTCGCTAGCAACAGCCAAACCGCTTCAATTCTCCCCTCGGTTTTGGGCGTAATTTTTTCCCATCCAAATCAAACACCTCCGCTTTGATGGCTTACCTCTCCTGGTCCAGGATTCTGTCGTTTTTGTTATATTTGAGAGCTGTGTTGTGTATATGGAGGAGTCCTGTTCCGGGGTCACATCCCGACAGTCGGTAGCGCTGGAGTGACTCGAGAGCGTAAACGCGCCGCTGCTGAATCAGTCTTCCTGCCGGAGCGCGACGCGACTGTCGCCATTAGAGGGCGCTGTGGCGCTGTCGTACACTGGATATATCCGACTAGAGATCAGTGAGCAAGAAAATAAAAGAAAATAAACAAATACTATCCCGCATATTATATTATATTATACTATTATAAAAGCAATAAAAAGTCTGAGAAGTACCTAAGGATCTAAAAAATGTTATCTTTCTGATCTAAAATAAAATATTAAATGTTTCATACGTTATTATGATATCATATTGTATTTATATTTTATATTATATTAATAAGAGCAATAAAAAGTCATCAAATTCTGAGAACGTGAACAATAAATGTAAAAAAAAAATGTTTGGAGCCTTGATCTAATGCTGATCTAATTGATTTTTTCATACGTAATCTATATATCATAGCCTTTTGAGGAATAAAAAGCACACACATTTTTTAATTTACATTCTATTTTTCAGTTTTTGAATGATTCCTTTATCTAAAAATCACTGTTGTGACCATCTCATGTATTCTGATATTCTTTTGGTTGTGTTCAATTCGACAGTTTTCTTACACAATGTTATCAATTGAGTCCTGTTCTCTTTACACTGGACAAAAGGAAACATGGGACTTTATTTCATCATATATTCTTATGATTGACATAAACCTTACACAGTATATTACCTCATTGATGGCATAATAATATGCTACTATTACAATAACTTGTAGTTTGCAGTTGTTTAGACAGTGTAAACATGACAGGTATAATGAACCCCTTTCAGTTCCACAGAGTTGAGAATAAGAGTACTGTATTAAAGCTTTGTTGATATGTAAAAGCCTTTTCAATAAACCATTAAGTAGCCCAAATAAGATTTCTCAGGATTAAATACTAATGCCATATCAGAAAATCCTTCAACTGAACTAAACCGAATTCATTGTTTTTACTTCTATCAGCAGTGTTTTTGTGGCCTTAAGTGACTGAGAGATTCCCAGCAGTCTTGTTTACTGTACTCTTCACACTGGGAAAGCCTCATTCATTACACAATAAAGATTGAAGACTCATGAACTTCCAGTTCCCCTTTTATCTCTGTTTCATCTGTGTATATTTTCCTAACACGAACAGTAAAAACATTAAAATGCTGGTCAGACAAATTTGACTTCCTGTCCCAAAATATCACGAATTCTGGAAATTCAGTAGGGTGGATTCTGGTAAATTGGGCCTCAATGTAAAAAATATGGTCCAATTTATTATTCCCCAGGCACAGACGGCACATACAACGACAGCAAAAAGTCTGGATCCCTTTTCACTGCTTCCGTATAAATCCATTAAGTAGAAAAATAATAACACACAAATCAGTTTCAGAATCAATAATTTATGGCAAAAATGAGAATGAATAGCACATTTTCATAACTCAAACCATCTTGGTAAAAATTTGTAACAAAGGAGTCATGTTTAAAAACTGAAATAATACATTAGTAAACCAAGAAATTCAAGATCCCAGAGTTTCACACTGTGAATTGGCTAAAGATCATTATACATAATCAAAAACAAAATAATGTTGATTTGGACAAGACCATAGCATGAAAGGTACTCGGTTAGTGGTCCGAAAGAAAAATGCTAATCAATACCTCAAATGCTAAAATTCATTTTTCTGTCCACTAATGTTCCTTCCATTATTAAAACTCTATGCAGTGGGTGTTTATAGGACTTCTATATATATATATATATATATATATATATATATATAGATGGATTTAATTTTGTATCTCTTCTTTAAAAATTCACATTCTAAAGGACATTTATGCATGTGTTGAGAAAAAAACAGGTAGCAGTAGATTCAGAATACTGTGGTGATGCATTGTGGAACTGATTCAGATTGAATCAGAAGAAAAAACACAAGCTTGACTGACTCTATATTCAAAATAGGCACGCAAATACCAGGCGGAATTTTCTACAGAGCAACAATATTTCACTTTCGTCCTGATTTATAGTACAGTAGTACAATGCATACATTTCACAGAACAAAAAGCACACTCTTTGGACACGTCTTTAAGATGGCTTGTGTCTCATCCCAAAGGCACAGAATACCCCACAAATACAAAATATTTAAGGCTCATTTCTACACTGACATACAAAATGTCTTCTCATGTACACCACTATACAAAGGCTTTCCTCCTGAACAATTTTCCTATTATACAAATAATTCAAATGAAAAAATACTGTTTTAAGGATACGTATGATACACAAAAGAATATGTACAACCAAACACGTTCATGTAAACAGAGAAACAAAAATCCTGAAACGAAAATGTAAACGATATGAAAACACTCAAAGTGCTTTCTTCTTCAGAACAACTCACTTATTTTATGCTGTACAGTTAGAAATTATAAATACATTAATCTCACTTGCTCTTACACAAGCGTGACAGAAACAAACCAGAGATGCAAGGTATCTTAGTGGCACGCCAATAGTTTGTTAAATTAGTAGCTTCAATTCCCAGAGCATTGTGTAGCAAATACCACGTGTATTTGAGAAATGAATCTCATGTCAAGCAGTTGGTCTCACCAAAACAAATGTATAGCATCATTTACTATTACGTCACAGATGTAAACATATGCTAAACAGCTGTTGATGTACAATATGTAATTCCCCGCAAAAGCAAAACGCAGGACCTTTTTTTTTTTGAACAGAATCTGGTCATGTATCAGTCACAACTCAGTTTAGTTACTGCATTTTGCTTTTGCACGGCAGTATAATGCAATAAATTCCAGACAGCAGTGCAAAATATATTCTGTTCAAAGCTGCATCGGTTTAAATCAAAACTCAGCATCAAGAGGGTTTCGGTCGATCTCCCGTAGCGGTTCTCCCGTATCGAGAGCCGTTTATCTGTTATCTTTGGCAAAACTGTGCATCATCCAGTTCACCTTGGTCTTCCAGCTCTCTCTCAGAGCTTCATTAAATTTCACTTTAAAGTTCTTCAGTGCTTCCTCCTCAGATTTCCCCAGTGCCAAGGAGTCCTGTAAGAACAAAGATACAATGAAGATGGAATTTCACCAGTGCTGAAAATATTCCGTATCTGCCTAGTTATATTCATTATTCCTCCTCATGTATAAAACTTTCCGTCGATTTCATCCTAAAGTTAGATTTTGCGTAAGCACAAAAGTTTTCAGATTTATAAAACCATGTGTATGGCAGAACTTGCAGAAAAGTCCCTTTATAAAACCCAGTCAGCAGAAGATCCACCCTGTCTGCTCCTCAAAATAACCATATGGGGAGCTTACAACACCTATTTCTTCTATGCATAACATAATTTGCATATCATTTCCATGCATATTCCCATCCAAGTGATACCATGTTTAACGGTACAAGACATAATATATCAAATTTGTATAAAATACATTTCAGAGAAAGTTTTCAGGGAAGAGTTATTCTCACTGGCCAAATAGTATTTTTAATTGCTTTAAGCAATTTTGCCTATACGGTAAACATATATTTTAGGAAAGGAAAGGAAACAGTGTAATTTATTGTCTGACTCAGACAATGATTATATAACGCTTTGCGTCACTGAAAGCATAAAAAATTAATGTGCATATCTTACCGTTTTTTTCAAATTCTAACTTATGAATAAAATAGTATGTTTCATAATATTGGGAGGACCACGAAAATGTTTTTCATTAGGCTACTGTCTGTCTGTGCATGACACCATTTTGAGGTTGTACATGTGTCCTGTGTCATCAGACTTATTCAAACCGGCCATTGGACCATTCGATCACCGAGTCCTTCGGTTTCTGTCATTATGCCATCTATGTTCCTAAGCCATCTGCTTTTACGGAGTTAAGTGTGCATTATTGATCATTATTAGTGTGAAAATATTTAGAGCTGCTATTTAGAGCACAATTTTAAGCGGAATTATCATGCGCCAAGCAATCCTTGCTAGTTAAAACATTAAAAAACATCATGCCAAAAGAAAAAAATATTCAAAAGCAGCACATCCACTACAAATAAGTCTATTTCAATAAATTTATGTGTAGGCTATATCAGATGTAAAACAGCGTGTAAATCATTTACTTCTCTCACTCCAATAAAAACAGTGCATCCGTGCAGTCCAGTGTCCATTTGGTGAGTACGTCATTTATGCCTAGTTTATCTTTTATAAATCTAGGTGTGTGCATGGAAAGTTTGGCTACGCAACACTAAAAACGTACTGACTTTGCTCACAGAGGGTATTACAACATCCCCCCCTAAATGTTGCTTTTTTTGTTGTGTCTTGTTACTACACTTGTGGTGTTCCCAGTCATAAAATTGCTTATAAATAATCTCCTTATGCTATGTTATTGCTATATATTGGATTCAATCTTTTTATCAACACTGTTGATTATTCTTTTTTGATAAAAAATTGTTTCAATCTTATTCTAATGAGAAATCTAATATATAAAATTGTCCCCTAGTTGTCCTCCTTTTAGATTTGATATTTCATGCTTGTAAAGCACTAGAGAAATGGCAAATATCAGAAATCTCACGAGTAATAAATAAAAAACCATTTGTCCTGAGGTAATTCTTACCTTTAGATACTGGATGTCTTTGGAAGAACTGAGTTCAGGGAGTCCTGCAGCTTTCATCAAGGTAAAAAGATTCACAAATAGAGTCCCATTCCGGCAGAGAATCTTATAGGCTTGTTCGCAGCACTCACGAAACCTGGCAAAGAGAAGCACACATGAACACTCTCTCTGCCTAAAGGTTATAAGCAGTCAACTATACAAGCAATTTTCTTAGGAAAGAAACACTAAATGAAACTCAGAATAAGCAAACTAGCTTTGTGGAATGTATTTTGAGAATTAAGCCATTATTATTTACGTATTATTTTTGAGTAGTTTATAAAACATATGCACTGACCGTTCAAATTTCTCGCTGTTGTTGGTCCGTCCCTCCTGAATTACATGGACAAAGTCATATGTCAGAATGAAAGGCACACGTTCCCTGTTGATCCCGAATTTGCTCTTGAAGTTCCCCAAAAAGTGCCCAAAATCTATGTGGAATAACTGCAAACAATACAAAGAAAATATTCATAACTTACAAAATTATTTAATCAAAATGAAAAGACTAATATAAAATTGGAGCAACCCTTGATTATGTGAAATTGAATGAAAAGTGCAACCCATGCCATCTTGCGATATAATTTATGATTTCACAGCAATCGTGAATTGGGATGGGCAATACCACTTATTTTGTTTTCGATACGATAGCGGTACTTTCAGGGCCAGTATCATTCAATTATTGAATTACTAAGAGTAAAATGGGTAATGATACCCACTTAACATTATAGTTGAAAGGCATTTTAACATTTAATATGGCTTAATTGGAATTTATTAGCATTGCGCTGGCTTGCGTTTTCCAAAAGCATCAATGGTTTCTTATGACACTTTTGGGAAACGCTGCCCTGTTTGAATGCATTGTCGGCAGTGGTGGAATGTAACGAAGTACAAATACTTTGTTACTTTACTTAAGTACATTTTTCACGTATCTTTACTTTACTTAAGTAGAATAAATAGTGCATACTTTTTACTTTTACTTCGTTACATTTTGCAGCAATTATTCTACTTTCTACTCCACTACATTTCTACAACTTCTGTTACTTTTTCATTACATTTTCTGATCAGTTTTTCCCCTGCCAAAACCTAATCTGACCGTCCGTTCGTTGCACGTTTGTCTCACCAGTGACGTTTGGTTGCCATAGATATATCAACCCAGTCACACTAAATGCGTCTCGCACGCAGTGTGTTTATCGTGCAATTTATACGCGAAAATTTGTTTTTATGTGCATAGGAAATGCACCGTTAGGATTATGGCAAGCCAAGAGGTTCAGAATTACACCATAAATGAATTGCGTTTACTGCCAAACATAGTTATTAATATATAGTAAGGATAAGCATGATGTGCATATTGCCTAATTGCAAGCTTGTTTCAGAAATGGTGACAACAATTTTTTCCCATAATTATTGAACATCATTATAGGAGTACAAGGTGGAACGAGTTAGAATTAAATGTTTATTAATCATTAGAAAAAAATAGACATTAAGAGAATAAATTGTTATGCAAGTACTTTTACTTTTAATACTTAAAGTACATTTAAAATCAGGTACTTTTTACTTTTTACTTAAGTATGGTTGTCATTGTGTTACTTCTACTTTTACTAAAGTAAATATTTATCTGTTTATTTGTACTTTTACTTAAGTACTGAGATTCAGTACTTCCTCCACCACTGATTGTCGGCAGTGTGTGAACGCTCTCTGTGATTGATTGTTTATGACTTGCAGCATTTGCATGTTTTCAAATGAGCAGGAAAATAGTTCTACTACACAAGTATTCACTAACATAGGTTATTCGTCCAATTCAATGCATATTGTACGCATTCAATTTCTTGTCAAATAAAATCACTGGCAAAAAACCCCACACTGTAGTATTGATATTTTTATTTGAGTATCGATTACTTTATATCGATACACCCATCCCTACTCGAGAGGCAATGAGTTTATTCTTACCTGACCCGTTTCCCTGATCATGATATTGTCACTGTGACGGTCCCCAATTCCCAGAACATATGTGGCTACACAGTAGCCTGCGCAGGAGAGGGTGAATTCCTCAATGGCTTGATCCAGTTTATCCCTGAAAAATATAGAAATAATATTTTAATTCATAACCCATTCTCATTCCAGCTTCCATCCTGTTTGGTAACCAATTAACACACAAACACACATTTGATTTCCATGTTTTCCATAGACATTATTTATATACTGTACCAAATATATTCTATCCCATAAACATACACACATGCAAACATACATAATTAAACATCATTATATCATCCAGCTATCCTCTCTCTCTCACACACACACACACACACATACAGAGAGTCATAGAAGTCTTTAGCGCAGTGTTAATCAGTTTCAACTTTGTTTCTGTCAGATTATGACTCAAACAAGACATTCAACGTTAATATGCTGGGTGAATATATAATGTGTCTTCCTGTTGAGGCCTCTTTCCACATCAGCTTAGAGTTCATAAGACTCCATACTAGTAAGACTTTCAATTTGACCTTCTCATATCAGTAAAAAGTAATTTAATGGCCTTTGATAATGATGATAACCCAGACAGTGTTCAGAATGAACATTCGCTGAACACCAAAGGAGAGTAAAAATTTAAGTAAATAAAGTTCTTTGTCAAGCCATCAAAAACACAATGGTAAGTGGTTTTAATGTAGTCATGAAATTGTAAGAAAATCATGCAATAAATTAAAATGAAAATATGCAAGAATATTTTGAATTTGTAACCTAGACACGGATACAGTAAACTGAATTTTATTCCTTACATCTCCATTCGTTTCTTAAAGACAAAAATGTCCCATACTCTGACATAGCATAACATTTACAGTAAGTGGACAACCAGAGAGCAGAACTGGATATGTCCACAGGGCATATATCTGTTTCAGATAAGCCATCAATGTCTAGTCTATCACACTCTAGTTTCATTTCAAGGGGTCATGTATAAACAGGATACTTCAGAAAAAAATGTATGCATCATAGTGAGTGGCTGTTAATTTTTTCTTTCCTTCTTTTGGTTAGCCACATACACTTACAAACAGTAGCTTTGTTAGTTGCCTAAATACTAAAACATCCCAGACATGTGGAAAAGGTCAGTTATATACGCTATTTAAATAAATGCTGATGCCAGAGGTTAGTTTGAACCCAAAAAGACCCCCAACACTCAGACTTCTCTAAACCAGAGCATTCCAGAAAAGGTCATTTCTTTCCACATTCTTTCAGATATATGACTTGCAAAATGAGACTGTTACACAATGCAACAAGCTTTGTGGTTTCATCTTAGTGCTCAGCCTGTCTCCTTAGCTGTTATTATCACAAAACAAAATGCACATCAAGCCACTTTGGTGGAAAACACCTGCAGTAGAAGCAGAATGCACAGTAAATTTACTCCAATGCTACACCTTCTGCAACCAAACTGCATTTGATGTTACACTACGCTTTCATATAAACCAAAAGGTCAAATGAGCCAAATAACCTAAGTGAGGTTTGAGAATAGAAAATGGCATGCACGGCTCCTGCAAATTCTAGTAAATTGGTCACTACGATACGCATAGTTGCAGCGAGGGTTTGCTGCTCACCCTGGGTTCTTCGATTTGAGCCAGTTGAGAAGAGCGTCCTTATTGAAGGCAGCAGTGGCAGCACTGTTGCTGTTGTTCCTCTGGATGTTTGCAATAGTGTCCGAGTTTTTCACCACCTCGATGAGACCCGTTTTATTCCCGGTTGATAGGCATCCGTAAGGCAGCATTCTGAGACACATTAAATGAACATTAATGGAAAGTTTTTATTGTAATACAGTATAATGCCTAAAAGTTGTCTATACATTTCTTATACATTGTATAACACTCAATTTTATGCAGATGTATCAGCTTGACGAAGTTAACTATACAAACCTGAGGTCAAGACCTTCCGTTTTCCATAGGACATCCATAAGCTGAATCATCTGAAGGGTTAGCATATCCTGCCTCAGATCTAAAAAAAAAAAAAAAACAGAGAAAAGGGTCAAAGTGTTTGTTTTTCAATCACTAATTTACAAAAACTAAAACGAGAAGAAATTAGGCAGCATGGCTTTATATACGTACCGTCTCCATTCTTGAAGATAATGCCCACAGTTTCATATTTGTCCTTGTACATCAGCCACAGAGGTTTCATCTTTGAGTCCATGAACTTACACTTGTCAGCGCTGAAAAAAAAAAAAAAAATAAATAGCATCAAGAAACACACATTCACACATGGTTCTGGTAGCTGTTTGTACGCGACTTTTCTGCAACGGATATGATCATTTAGTTGCATTACTGAATTGAAATGATTGCTCATGTTGCAGATTCAGTTACAAATTAGAAACAAACGCATTAATGTGTGATCATAAAATCTACATAGCTAAAATCACATGCCATCTGTGGCATGTTAAAGGGATAGTTGACTCAAAAATGTAATTCTGTCATCGTTTACTCACCCTCATTGTTCTAAACCTGTATTCTTTTGTTGAACACAAAAAGATGTATTTTAAAGAATGTTGGTAACCAAACAGTTGCAGGTTGCCATTGACAGCAATTTTAAATTTAATTTTTTTAAATTTTAAATTTAATTTAATTGGGAACAGGATCTGGTCTTCTTCAAAATATCCTCTATTGTGTTCAGGTTTAGAACAATATGAGTGTTTATAAATGATGACAGAATTTTATTTTTGAGTGAACTATAAATTAAGAACTATAATTTATTAACAAGACCTGACACAACAACCTCTAAAAATCTCTTAAGACAACCAAGTAACAATAATATGTTGATAAAAATGTGATGATAATTAGATTTTATAATTATAGATACCAGTATCATATCATATCTTCATTGCAGTGGCTTAAGACTATACATTTTCAACATTTATAGAGAACAACGTGAATGGTACCAGAGTTCACACAGCATGATGCCTGGGTTGAGAGGACAAACGACCTCAGAGAGCGCTTCCATGTATGTGTCCTGTTTGATGCACACTTTCATGTCCTCTGTGGTCTGTATCCTGGTCGCCTTCTGACTGCCTGATTTCACAAAGTCATTAAGAGCCTTCATCTTATTCAGAGCCTCGTTCTAAAGGAGAAGGAGTAGACAATAAATATTCGTATGGACACTGAATAAGCATCTGGCATTTAACAGAAGAGTGACAATCAATATTTGAGAAGGCATGTAAAAACAGCTGCAAACTTTGAGCAGCATATTGCAGTTCCCCTTCCTTCCAGTGGTTTGGCTATTATTAAACATTCAAAGAAGATGTATTCTGCTGCTGCAAAGAAAAAGCTATTCCAGCAACCCTTACTATTTTTATACATGTATATTTATGTGCTTGAAAGAACAGGCGCTGTTTCTTACAAGAAAAGGCACAACACAAAGTGACAAGTTACTGGTACCAGAGTGGGTTACTGAGAAAACAAGTCAAGTGCTAAGTTTGGGCCCCAAGTGTCAAAAAGGGCCCTGAGAATGAAAAGTTTTAGCTGTTTACAAATGAATTCGCTTTTCATATAAGGAATAAGTGCAACAAACCTGCTTCATCAAGATCTTAATGTGATAGATGCACCCGCGACAGTATGCCTCCAGAATAAGTCCAAATCTCAAGCTGACTGAGGGCACATGCATTTCTGACCTTTAGAGAAAGCAAAAGAAAAGCCTAAATTACACTGAAGGGAATGGGGGCGTATCGCTGTAGAACACTATAAGAAGGTGGATTTATACCTAAGGTGCCAAAACAAGAAGTGACCTATTTTCTTGTTGGCCAGGGCTCTCTCCAGCAAGAAACAGGTCAAGTCGCAATCCAGGTATGATTCATACTTCAGAACCTGAACCAGTTGCAAGAGGTACTGAAAAAGTTCATCATCACTGTTGAGAAAAAAACAACACATATTTTAAAATGTAAAGCTGAAAATAAATCACTATTACTTATCAAATTAAGACACGGCTCAATTCACAAGACAACAGTAAATAAACTGAAAAAAAGAAACACTCCTGGTTCAGGATACTTTATTTTAAAGATACTTTGGAAAAATCCAAGTAAGCTTTACAGATCTATATTTTAAATAGTTTAAACAATGATTTTCATGCTTGTTCAATGAACCATAAACAGTTTTTGCACATGCACCAGTGGAAAAAGTCCTTTAGACACTAACAACTTACAGGTTGAATTAAAGGAGAATTCCGGCGCAAAATGAACCTTTGGTCTAATAAAACATCGATACCTAGTCAACCGTTCTCTGAGATTTGTTTTCATGATAATCGAATGTAACGAGTTTATCTCTAAAAACTGTTTAGCATATAATGCTAGTACTGGGGGCATTTACTAAGTAAAAAGATCGGTAGTTTATACCACTAACAAGGCTCAAAATAGCCCTTTCCATGCAAAACGAAGCATTGAGAACTTTTTAAATGTAAAGACCGTTTAATAAGAAGATACTTTATAAAGACAGTTCACTTTATGTACACAGACAGGAGCCATCTTAGAAAATAGTCTCGATAAGTCGAATAATTAAAATGATCAATACAATGTTGCAATATTTACACCTGAAAGGTTGGCTTGGCTGCGATAGTCGGTGATACCAGTGCCACACTGTTCAGTCGCCCCCCACCCCACCCTCGTTTAGATTTTTTATAGTATAAAAATAATTTAGTTCAGTTAAAAACAAGACATGACAATTAAAAACTGAACGTATCTTGTCAATTCAGCGCGTGCCGGACGAGAGTCGCAGCACAGATCAACAGCAGGAGTCAAAATTGAATTTATCATGACGAGAGTGAGGCCAGCTGATTGACAAGACAAATGGCGGAAGATTTGTTTTCAAAGTGAAATGTAAAAGCACCTATTGGGCAATATTGTGGATTTAAACCCAATGCTAATAGATAACAAAACATAATCCTAAAGAACAATAAAACCACCATTCAAGCAATTGTCACAGATTCGAAAGTGAAAGTGAAAAACACGGCCGCACGAGAATTCAAAAACTCCAAATTCTAAACCACCCCATCCCTGTGATACCGGCATAACCGGTGGTGTCCCATGTAGATTAATCGGTGAGAACATTTCCTCACTGTCACATACCTACTGCAAATGCCTCTACAACTGTTAAAAGCAATAGGAATAAAGATGTTTTTTCCTTTGATTTTCACATGTATGCAAGACAGAGACATGCTCTCTCTTTTTGGGTGATGATTAGCGAGGCAGTGCCACTCACCGTAATTTCTTGAGGCAGCGGATGGTGAAGGAGCGGACATGAGGGTCAGGGAAACTGTAGTCTAGAAGTTCTAGAGCATGTAGAGGGGGCAATTCTGGCCATTTCCGTAACAAACCAACCATCTGGAGAGGGAAAAAAAAAAGTGAGTTAATAATGAGTGTACAACAGCCTCTCAATCCATTAAGTTCCATTAAGAAAAACAAGTATTCTGGGTGGTGGTAAGGAATTAATGCAAACCAATCTTGAGGCAGCAAATCGAAAGGTTTTAACAATGAAGACATGAAATAAAAGGATAAATTCTGTTTTTATTGTGCTTTATAAATAAATGATTATTATGAAATATTTTTTTTAATTTATATTATTAATAATTCTGTTTAGCTTTTTTGGATACTTGCTTGACTGAGAAAATGACTACAATAAATGTGGTACCTTTTATATGGTATTCCTTAAATATTTAGGTTTTTCACTGCTTTGAAAAGAATCATATCCCAAGGAACCAGTGGTTCATCTTACCTGAGCCACGTCCTCGTGTTTGTTCCACTTAGTGATGAGGAGGAGTTTGGAGAGGCTCTCAGGGTATCGGTGCCTCACTTCTCCTCGTAACTTCCAGAGAAGCTCCTTCTCATCCTCAAAGAACTCTGTGTAGTTTTTATTGTCTACAATCTCTTTCAATTTCAGGTGCTGAAAGAAAAGTCAATTTTGTAGGAGGTTAAAGACTACTAAAGTAGTTTTAGCATCTCTGGCACTATGAATAAATCATTGAGAATAGTTCAATGCTTCAGCAAACCACAACTCCTCTTAACAGTGTTGTAGACAGACATACAGGCCCTGATGTAGTAACCATTTCCCTTTCATGATAGATCTGCATAATTCACCTCTAACAAACCAATAAATGCTATTTCTCACCTCTTCTTTTGTAGCAACAACTTTTTCACCATTCAGACCCAGTTCATTTAACTGAAAATATTAGGGAAGATAAATGACTCAGCATTTGTACACTTTTTTCATAAATGTATGTATATATGATAAGATATTATGAGAATAACACAACTATTAAGGAGAAAAAAAATCACCTTTTCGATTGGAGGATAATATAGGGGGTGTGGTCTGATGCTGGGAAAGCGAATCAGGAGACCAGCCGTGCTGTCAATGTTTGGATTTTTCTCCACAGTGTCCATAGGATTCAATAAATCACCTTTATCATCTGAAAATAAAAGTGATTGACTCATTGACTGAACTGAAGTCCCTAGATCAAAAACAACTATTCAAAATAAGGGAATGCTCAGCAATGCTAGATTATCACTCCTGTGACTATGTACTGCAAAATCCCGAAAATATCTCAGTGAATGAAGGTCAAACCAAAAAAAGTAGCTGTAAAAATAACATGAGCTACTGCTCATTTTAATGTACCTGGGACTGATGGCCATGTGGACAGGGAAAATTCTCCAGTCTTCAGCTGGTCCTTGTAGTCAAACACCATCGTGTTAACCCAGGCCAATGGGCAGTCCTGTGAAAAGAGGAGGTATATTAACCACATTCACATTGCACTCAACACACCAGTCATTTAATGTGGGAGAGGTGACATTGTCACATAAAACAATGCTGTACACTAATGTTTCAGTTGTGGGAGGTGACAATATAACTGAATAACCAAAAATTCCAGTAACAACAGCAGTGATTTCCAATACACCAATAACACAAATCTAATACTTCCAATGTATGACTGTGAGTGTAGTAAAGGTTTCAAGTTCAGTGCTGTTACTTGTGCAGAAAGACATTTATGCATTCAGTGAAGTATTTTTAAAAGGGGTTTGTGAAAGCTTAAGAAATCACAAAATTGTTAAGCCAACGTAATGCAATGAAATATATTGGAGAAAATAATAATAATTTAGTCGAATATAAAAGATAAAAGTAATATGGTTAAATTAATAAAAGCTTGCTGCAAATATCTGCCCATTTTAATAACATTTAACTAAAAAAAAGTTTTAATTCCAATTCAATTATCAATATATCGATGTCGCCTAAATCTACAGTGACGGTATATGTTAATACACGCTTTTAAATCTTAAACAAGATTGAGAAGAAATTATATATAAATAACGTAAATAAGTTTGAACTTTTTAAAATGTATTTGTAAATAAGAATTATTACTGGTATATAAGGTAAATTACTAATTATAAGGTAAAAAGAATCTAAATATTGAAATCAATATGGCTTAAATCTACATTGTAAAAGCAGATAACACTTTTAAACTGTTAAATGTGATTTATAATAAATGTTTAATAATTTATAATTCATAATAAATTGCAGAATAATTAAAACTAGAATTTCATGAAATATAAAAATATCCTACCCCATGTACATGTGAATATTTTGTCAAAAAATCTAGAGACGAATCACTTGTTAATACATACATTTCTAAGCCATAAGATTCACCAGCCAAACATAATACATTTCAAATTCAAGAACTTGTGCGATGCAAGAATAACCGGAGACATTTTTTTCTCTTCATGTGTTACACCCTTGTGGACTTCTCTAGTCCGCTGAAAGAGAAGTAACACTGAAAGCAGAAGTGGATGCGTTGGCGTTGAGCCACGGCAGCCCACCACCATATACACACAAACACACACACGCACACACACATACTTTGACACCTGGGAATTTCAACACTGCGCTTGCATTTGACAATGCACACAATCTTTCAGAGAACCGACCACGAAGAGACAGGCTCATGAGTTCTGATTTGACATCAACTAGCTGCTCTGTCCGAACATTTAACTTGTGTTACTCACATTAAGCATGCAATGGACCACAGCATCCTGTCATCAGGGTTTATCATACTGATTATACAAGCCATGATGCGTATGTGGAATTGACTTGGAAACAACATGGGAACGTGTTCGGCATCCATGCATGTTGTCAAATACTACAAGTATGGCATCTGTTGTGCGTCTCACTAAGTGACTAATTTTCTGTTGAAATGAACTGAAACCTACCGCTCTTTTGTTTTTTTTCTTGGTAGGGCGCTTCTTGGTCTTCTCGATGACGCCATAGAGGGCAAAGCAGAGGCGGGTCATGCGTGGCAGGTCACTCACGCTGATGTCGAACACTAATTTCTGGTCCCATACAGGTTCGGAGCAAACGCTGACCTCATTACTGGTCACCACTTTGCACAGGAGCTCACTTCCATGGAAGAGGCCAGCCTGAACCACCAGCTGAGAGAAAGATAATGATTGCAGAGCATGAAATTACTCTCAAATCTCCTTAAAGATTACAGATTTAAAGAAAGGGAACTTCATTTCAATGTTTTTTTTTTTTTAATGAAAGAATGTATGAATGAATGTAGGCAGTTATGAGGAAGTAAATGAGTGTCTGGCAAGAAAAGCAAGTTAGGGAGAGCAACTTGTTACATAGCTCAGTTGTCATAAGAAATATGTTTTCTCTGGCAGTGGTTTTGTTTGTTTGTATGAAAAAAACAAGTTCAAAACCCTCTTTAGTTAACTATAATTTCTACTTATAACAATTTAACGTTTGTGAACTCTATCTTCCAAACTTAAACTTTACAAAATGATTATATATTTAATATAAATGTCGGGTAAACAAAAAAGTAAAAAATAAAAATAATTCACCACACTGTCAACATAGTAAATAATAAATGCTGTCACACACGTCAAGCTGTCACACGTTTTAATTTTATTCAATTGATTGCTCGGTTATATATTTTTGCGGTTTTATGGATTATAATTTGTCCTTTACAATCAATTTATTTAATGGCATTCCCATTGACAATTTTTAAATCTAAGAAATGTAGGTAGTAAAAGTAACAACAAGTGGCTGTCTTTCCTACATCTGTACCAGAAGCTCAGAAGTTTAGAGTGTAATTCTTATACATTTAGCTCAGTCATAACCACGTTTAAAAGCCACGACAGTTTTCACTTACTACAGCAGGGCATAAAAAAATGAGTGAATGCTTCCTTTAAGGCTGAAACAGAGAATATGCCAGAGAATAAAACTTATAAAGGTGCTAAAACAAATCTCGATTCAGAGCTCTTTGGCAAAAATTGGTGACAAATTACTACTGAGAAGAAAGCAAACAGAATACTAAAAAAAAGAGTTTATGTTTATGAAAAATGTATGTTTAAACGCATAAATTCAAAAGTCTGGACTTTCATTCTTACATTAATGAAAGCCAGAAATTCTTTATAAAACAGTTTTCTTTGAAAAAAAATAACAACATGCAAGTTTTTGCATGGAAAAATGCTTTGTCATGCAAATATATTTAACACTGTACACAACTGCAATAATTGTGCCTCAGGCTAAATAGAAAAAAAAAATCTAACCAGCCTACATGCCTTTCTCATGAATATTTTAAAATAGATACAACCGTCCAACGTCTGTTGACTTCTACGACAAGCAAAAAAGAGATGCAAGGGCCTTTTCTAAGAATCTAGGCCCAAGAGAAAGAGCCGTAAAGCCAGATAGTCACTCCCCACTTCCTGTTTTGATGTTTCGCTTAACCGCTTCTGATGAATTATGGGAAATATGTGGTCAGGGTCACATGACCACAGTGTTCATGATTTCACCCCTCACTACCTGCCACAGTTGAGATGCTAAACAACATAATGCACATCCCACAAACAATATACAAATGCAAACAAACAAACAAACAAGCAGTTTTACCTTCATGCCCTCGTCCGCATTCACTCGGCTACCCTGTAGAAGGATTATATGGAAAGGCTCGTGGATAGACCACAGTGAAGATGTGTTTTGCTGTTGAGAAGAAAATATACACAGTACTTAACATTGTAACCACATATTTTCTTCTTCATTTCTTCGTATTTGTATTGCAAACTAAAAAGCTAGTGTGGGAGGTACGTCTGTGCACGCATTTCAGCATGCTTAACAGTTACAGAGAAAACAAAAGCAAAAGGAGGAGGAACTATGCGTGCATGAATCCATCCAATGTTGCGAATGTAAACCAAGCGATGAATTTGGTTCAGTATCACTCTTTCATCTAATATCGGCATATCCTATACATCAGGCAAACCACAGGATAAACGTACTTGTTGAGGAAGTTGATTTGAAACTTTAGTTAGCGAATTGAAATTGTTAGTATAACACAGGCTACAAATTATTTTTACGACCAAGGAAAGTTCATTTAAAGTCAATTTAAATTAAATCTCCAAATGAAATAATTCACTAGAAAGAGTCATAGTTCCCAAAACAACATGACAAAAATTAGCAATGAAGCATTTTGTCACAAGAAAAAGTTACTATTAGGTTATTAAAAGTAAATATGAGGTGGAATTTTCAATATGTATGATGCAATGTGTATGAAAATGTACAAAGTTTTGAAAAACCTAAACATTAAGGTCCACACCTAAATCTAACCGTCAGTGGGGCGTTAAGTAGATCATATGAAAATGCATGAATTCATAACAATTTGCCAAAATGAATTCTTACGAATTGCCATATTAGTGTGATTTTTTTTAAACAGCTGAGCTATTGCAATGTTGAATAAATATTCAGTTTCAAAACATTTAATTATTTACCTTTTTTTTTTTATATACCGGAAGCTTATACAACTAGGACAGATAAACATTTATGCTCCATCTCATTAATTCAAAGCACTTCCATGAAGGGGTCACATATGGCCAAAAATTGACCATGGGTAAATGATTTCAAGTATGTCGCACTGCAAATCGAGTTCATGGAGGTTGAACTGTACAACACAAGCTAACAAGAAGAAACATGAAAAGTAGTTCCTGTGTTAATAACAGATTGGGTGTCGGTGCAAAAGTGCCATCTCACCCTTTTCAGAGGCAGTGGGGGCGGTTTAGACTGAGCACGGCTTCTGGACACCTGATTATTGAGGCCACCCTGTTCCTCCTGGTATTTGATGATGGCTGAATGATGCACCACAGTCAGATGTGGTGTAAGACCCCCGTGCAAACATGTGAAAATATACTGAGAGAGAGAGAGAAAAAAAATGTAGCTCATTTGTTCAAGACAAGCTGTGTTATGGGACAAACAGGTACAAATCATGCCCTAAATCCATGTTCTTCCTATAATTTCTTGTCATCTCTCCACTTTCACCATCAATATAATGAAAAACACTCCCAAAAGCTGAATGGGGTAGAGCAAACACGCATAGATAGATGGAAAGAGACTGAAATGGCAGCCGTGGTACAGATGGTTTTATCAGTTCCTGTTTTCCAAAATGTAGACCAGATCCAGTACTCCTCAACTAATCATCGTCAGATCCTGCGGCCTGTTCATTAAGGTAGCGTAATCCCACTGAAATCACATTATCCTCAACGTAGTTGATGTTTTGAAGGCTGGTAAAGATGTATGACTCATCTTTGCAGGTACAAGCAGTTTCTAAATCAACAATGTGAAGTTCTACTATGAATTCAAATCATGGCCTCTTTACATTGCAGAAAGATTAAAAAAAAAAAATAATAATAATAAAAAAAGCGGTTAGCGGTTTTATTTCTTGTTTTAGCTGAGTGGGCGTGGCCTTGTTTGTGCGAAAGTGCGAACTACATGGGAGTGCTCCTTTTAGCTATTTATGGTCGTTTTCATCCGTCCTATTCATAGTATTTATTTATTCGTTTTAACTTGTTCTTAATCCTCTTGTCTATCTATTTATTAATCATATGTTGAGGCAAGGGTTAATTTTAAGAAAATTGTATGTTCCCATTATCAAGTGGGTCAGCCGTCATTAGTGGAAGGGAGGATTGAAGGAAGGATCATGGTATTAGAGATTTAAACAAGTTTATTGAAGCGTTGTCTGAGCACACCGACACTCTGTCCTCAGATGTAGAGGAGAGTTTGTATTGTTTTGATTGATAACCTGTTTTTATTTCTCTTAACCATTTTTTCCACATTTTGCACATCCGCTTTAATAAACACCTTTTTGGACTACAAAATCGCTCCCGTTCTTGGTGTGATTCTCTTTAATGACCCTATCACATTCCTATTATGTTATTCATGATTATGTCGTATCGTATTTAAAGGGAAAAAACAGTTACCATCAGTAACTGAATAAAGTTAGAATCCACAAATCTCCATCAACTGCAAGATGCTATCCTATCAATATGGGCCAACATTTCTAAAGAATGCTTTCAGCACCTTGTTGAATCAATGCCACGTAGAATTAAGGCAGTTCTGAAGGCAAAAGGGGGTCAAACACAGTATTAGTATGGTGTTCCTAATAATCCTTTAGGTGAGTGTATGTCTATGTGGTGTTTTTTAATATGCTTTAAGACAGACCTTGTGCAAAATTCATAACTTAACACCACTGCTGAGTATTTCAGCTTTAAACTGCAGAGAACCAATAACAGTCTCAAAAACACGGTTTGAAATAGCTGGTGTTTCTGACGTCACAAATTACATTGAAACCAATCACGTCAATGTGTGGATCTCTGAGCTTGTGTGATTAACTGGAGTAAGTTACAAGCTAGCTAGTAGTTACTAAGCCTCTAGTGTGGACTTTACATTCCAATTTAAGCAAGTCGAGAAAATGTTGACTTACTTTAAACTGGCAGAGTGGATGTGTTCCATAAATGAACTCCAATCTCCCATTAACCTGAAGAGTGTAGTCCTCAGGTTTCTCCTGCTTTGCCGATCGGAACACAGTGGACTTCTTTCTCAGGGCGTTCCGTTTCAGAACCATCGGCAGGTCATGTGGATCTTGCTGGAGAACGAAGCTCTCCTACAAATTAAAAATATGAAATGCATTCAGTTAGAAGTTATACTCAAGTTCAGGGTTGAAAAGTGATTCAAGTGAGCATCCGTTCCAGCAATCTGGCTTCCAGAAGAAATTTACCTAAAAACATTGTCTTTGCCTTTTCCTTCTTCCATTAGAAAAATTCTACAGAATATGGCCGAAACTATTGACAATACATCATGACTATAATATTAAAATCTAAAAGTTTTTTACTTTATCAAAAGCCCAAAAGTTTTTTTAAACATTGATAATAAGAAGAAATGTTTACTGAACAGCACATCAGTATATTAGAATGATTTCTGAAGGATCATGTGACACTAAAGACTGAAGTAATGATGCTGATCAAATTTTGCAATGTTTTTACTGTATTTTTGTAGAAATGTATAATTTTAAAATGAATACAATGTTGAAAAGTATGTTAATTTAAGAGAAAATGAAAATTCTGAAAAACAATTTACTCGCCCACAAGCTGTTCCAAACCTGTATGAGTTTCTTTCTTCTGCTGAACACAAAATAAGCTATTTTAAAGAATGTTGGTAATCAAACAGTTGGATTACCAATAGTTGGAAGTCAATGGGGTACTGGTTACCAACATTCTTCAAAATAGCTTCTTTTGTGTTCAACTCATTCAACTCACACAGGTTTGGAACAACATGAGGGTGAGAAAATGACAGAATTTTCTTTTTTGGGTGAACTATCCCTTTAATATATATATATAAAAAACTGAGCATGCAGGACTGCCAAGTTGATTGAGAGTGTGGGGAGACTATATGTTTTGATGGGAGTGGGTGGTCATGGTTGCCATGATCCTCATTTCCATGGTAACAGTGAATTCTCTGGGGTCTGTGAACAGTTTGTGTTATGAAAGCGGTCCTTGGTTCAAAAAAAGTTGGAGATAACATGCTCTAGATATAGTAAAAACAAAGAAAACTCCCTCATAATCATTGGTGCGCATAGGGTGAGGTGCACTCCCAATAGTACGATTAATTACTCATAAAGCAATTGTTTTTCTCTGCAAATGCGATGTCGAAACAGTCTGGCTTTTGATCCGTGCCATGCATTATAAAAACAAGTGTTGCTGGAGTTTTTTTTTTTTGCACGCTTCATTTCAGACTCATTACAAAGTTAAAGATCATAGGTACATAACATTCACGTTAAGTGGGTGGGGGATTGACAGGCAACACAACACATACAAATACTATCAAAGGCCTCACTCTGGAAAACTAGGTCAGTGAGACCCATGTGTGCCTGCAGATGCTGCAGTGACATCATCACCATGTCAAATGTCTCAGTCCTGACTGTTACGATATGTAAAATCAAAGGCAGAAAATATGTCAGTCTAAAATTAGACGTTTGCACGTTTTGGATGAGAGGATTAAATTGTCAATGGCTACATAACATGCTCGATTTTACATTATTAACACAAACAGAAAGAAGCTAAATAGAATTAAACTGAAGTAATGAATTAGTGTAGCATAAAACAATTGTGTATGAATATAACCCCACGTAACATATGACTACACTCACCTCACTGCCCTCAAACTTCACATTGACAAGGATCTTCTTAACACTGCGTGATTTCCCAGATTGTGCCACTACCGAGCATGGCTCCAAGTCACATGGGAAGTTATACTCCATCCACTGATACCATGGCAACATCTGGCGCAGCTGAGCACGTTCTTCACAAAACGTCCTCATTTTTGTTCGGAATTCATTCATTTCATGGTTCTTTTGGGAGTCAAACTCATGATGACCTGTGGAGACAAGGTTTTTAGCTTGTTAGAATGAAGTCAGAATGCTAAAACTGTGCTGTCACCATTTGATTTCGAATTCTGAAAGTAATTGCAACAAATAATAAAACTACCATAGAGTAATGCGACACAAAAAAAATTGGCTGCAAATCTGTTCTGAAAGTGTTGTAGAAAAAAACAGCAGGGATGAACAATGCTAAATGCAAAGAATAAAAAAACTCACAAATCATATAATCATTTGTACTTCAAAAAAAGGCTTAAAATGACTTTTAAAAGAGAGAAGAAAATACTTCCCATATTTTTTGTTGATGCGGAGTCCAATGAAACTCTATGGTATTTTTGAGCAAATTCAAGTAACACTTGGTAGTAGCTAGTTGAATTACGCAGAAGGCAACAGGAATTAAATTTATTAACAAAACCACCAAAGATAAGGCAATATAAACAGGGAAATGATCGAAATCAGGAGATCTTTAGAAACCAGACGTTCCAAATCAGCCTGTCATGCTCATAAGTTTAAAGAAACACAAATTCTTCTTAAAGGGAGAGTTCACCCCAGTAATTACTCACCCTCATGTTGTTCCAACCCTGTGACTTTCGTTCATCTTCGGAACACAAATTAAGATATTTCTGATTAAATCTGAGAGCTAGATCACTCCTCCATAGGCTTCTAAGGGATTGAAACTTGCCAGCCCAGAAAAGTTATTAAAGACATCGTTAAAATAGTCCAAGTGATTACAGTAACTCAATCTTTAAGGAGTAGTTCACTTTTAAAAAAAACTTTTGCGGATGATTTACTCATGCCCATGTCTTATCCAAGATGTCCATGTCTTTCTTTCTTCAGTAGAAAAGAAATTTCTTTTGAAAACATTTCGGGATTTTTCTTCATATAATGCACTTTACTGGTAACCAAACGGTTCAAGGTCCAAAAGACAGTTTCAGTACAAACGGCAAACTGTTCAAAGGGCTTTAAACGATTCCAGACGATGAATAAAGGTCTTATCAAGCAAAATGATCGCTTATTTATAAAAACAACAACAAAGTTTAAGTTTTATAAGCTCTGTTCTGTGATTCTGTACGTTCGCGTTCGTGACTCTCCAGTTTGAACTCGTTTATCAAAATGAACAAATCTTTTTTCGTGTCATTTGGTTCATTCAACGAACGAAATGAACGGATTGACTCAGAAAAAGATTAGTTCATTTTGGATATCTTGGATGACATGGGGGTGAGTAAATTATCAGCAAAAGTTTCTTTAAAAGTTTATCAAGCGACGAGAATACTTTTTGTGTGCAAAAAAATAAATAAATAATGACTTTATTCAACTATTCATTTCCTAGGTCACACGTAGGCTCACTATTGGCCAATGCTTGTCATGTGTATGATCAGGGCCGTATTAAGAGCTCACTGGGCCCCGGGGCTATGAGTTACTGCAGGGCCCCCCCAGCAACCACTTTAGGTCACCAACTACATGAGCTAAATGTTATATTATTATAGCCTACGAGTCATTTTATCCATGATATACTTCACAGTTAAGTTATGTTACTTTTAACATGATTTTTTTATCATATCAAAATGTATTGACTAAAATTTCATAATTATTGTGACCAATTTCAATATCACCAAAAAATAATAGTAGCTTAAGAAAATAATCTCAAGCTTACTGATGACAAGAGTCACAAATTAAAATAGAACAAAGGCACAATAAATCGACCTATGAAAAACTTAAAGCACTGAATAATATTATATAAAGTAATCAAATATACAATACATGGTTTTCACTATAAATTCAACATTCATTCTTGTTAATTTTGCAAAAGTAATTCAGTCAAATGCAGTAAATTACTTTCTTTCTGATGTTTGATTAACATTATTGACACACATGGCGACAGCAGCTTTATTAGCGGCGTCTGTCACTTTGAGACCTCAGAGTCGGATTCAAGTGCGCTGTGCAAAACCGTCTCAAGTTCACCACAGTCTATGGTTCACCTTGGTCTTAAAACCAGCATTTACAAAATAAATTCTCCCGCTGCTCACTGTGCCTGAGCAGTTTGAAATATTTTGTATCCAAACCACAACGTTTAAAAACGCGTTTAAATGATAAACTTAGCTACATCATGATGGCGCAGCAAAATTTAAATATTTCTACCGGATATATTATCGCCAGTCCTTTAGGCGAATATAGAGTTTAATCAAACACAAAAAGCAAAATTATACATCCATCAAGTTAATATTCAAACTTACCGAAAGTTTGTGGGGTCGATGATGACGCTGTGTAAGAATAGACTAGAATGAAGAGAAGAGTAAAGGCGATTTATTGGTTGATATATAACCTATTCTAATAAGGCGCAGGCAGCAATCATCTATAGGCCTACGTGCAGCAGCAGGTCGGTCGTTCACAAGTTAAATATAGAATAAATATATTTGTCATATCAAATTAAAACCTGACGTTTCAATTTACCATGCCCTGCTCAGAGCCGTTGGCCCTGCATGCCTAGGGGGTTTGATTGACAGGTGGCCTGGCCAATCATAACGCCGAATAATACGCAACTTTGTCCGACAACAAAGCTGTCAGTCGGTGGACATGAACTTGAAAACGGTAATGTTTAAATTACTTAAATGACAATATTTGAAAGTTGAGACTTTGTTTCATATCAACAGTAAGCTGCCCTGAACTCTCTCTCGTAATCACTCGGTGTAACGTTAGTCTTTGCCCCGCGAAGTATTTTTCACTGCGTGAGTGCATGAGAACATGATGTGCGTGACTCGCGAGAGCCGCCTGGCTCGTGGCCCGTCCGTCACATAGTACCTAAAAAAGGCGGGTCTTTGCGAACGTCTCTATTAATGATAATGATTCCATGATAAGGCAAAGTGCAACTAAATAACAGGGATAATTTGTGGGGGACGTTGCGTGGGAAGGCTTTGGTAATCAGATGGCTTGCAGTATCTGCTCCACAGCCAATCACGGGCCCCCTCCTTGCTTGGGCCCCGGGGCTTAAGCCCCGCCTAGCCCTATGGTTAATGCGGCCGTGTGTATGATGCATGTGACATGCAACCTAGAAACGCTGCGCTGTTACATTACGTGAACTATCTCGATGCCCACAGAGAAGGAAATGAATAGTTGAATAAAGTCGTTATTTTTGTTTGTTTGTTTGTTTGAGCACAAAAAGTATTATTGTCGCTTGATAAATGTAAAATTTGAGCCATTGTAGTCACTTGGACTATTTTAATGATGTCTTTAATAACTTTCCTGGGCCGGCAACTTTCAATCCAGCTCTCAGATTTAATAAAAAATACCTTAATTTGTGTTCCGAAGATGAACGAAAGTCTTATGGGGTTGGAACAACATGAGGGTGAGTAATTATTACTGACAGAATTTTCATTTTGGGGTGAACTATCTCTTTAATTGCTGGACAGCTGCCAAAACCACATCATTCTGCTGCAGTGCTGAGTAAAGTCAAAGCTGCTTCCATTGTGAGCCGCCCATACAGCTCTGAGGTTAGATGAGGACCAGTGTGACACAAACCTTTTCCTATAAGCAGACTGATCTGGGTGGTGATGAGCTTCTCCACTCTGTCTCCTTCCCGGGCCACCAGCCTGAGAATTGGCATGAACGGCCGGACGTCACACAGGCGACGCTGCTCATCTTCCAGCTCCTCCCGCTCTGCCGTCATGTTGATGCAGGTAAAGACGTAGGCATCCGGATCACTTAGAGCACTGAACAGAGGCTCGTTCTTGGCATTCTTCCACACCATCTAAGACACAAATCAAGACTTTAATGTGTTCAGTGGGTCTGACTGCAGTCGGTTCATATAATTGTATTGCAGGGCATCTAATATCAGCAGCATACTTCCTTAGTCAACCAGCTCAGAAATAGTCTATTAAGCAGAGAAGTGTGACTTACTACAAATTAGACATTATTAGGTCTTTCATGAACTGGCCAAGGAGCATTAGGGTGAATGTTATGATTTGTTTTTAATGAATAATGATTTCAATTTTGCCATTTAATCCATTGTAAGACTTGCACTGAGCACATTTGTGGTGTGTTTTTGTCCTTTTTTTAGCCTAAAATCTTGACTTTCATTTAACCAGTCCATGTTATTTGTCAGCTACCCATGTTCTATTACTTCCATGTCTACAAACTTGCATTTTTAGTGTTTACATTTGGTCAGAAGGTCTCCTCACCTTCTTGATTGCACCAATGGTGTCACTGCCTGCTACGGCAAAGTTGAGGTAGATCCCAGTGGGGAGGAGGAACTCCATGTTGACCTGTTGCCGACCCTCCATCTCCCACACATCCTGCATGCCGTAGACCCCCGGCGGCATGGTGCAGGAAACTCATCTACTGCTGAACACAGACAGACAGTTTAGCACAGATCAAGTCTGAAAAAACAGAACATGCATGAAATGTTTACTAGCTGTTACAACCCACTGAACCAGTTGCACAGAGGCAGGGAGTGACCTCAAGACGTTCCATTAATATTCAGTGAGAAGAAAGAGAAAGCGTGAAACATATGCTGCATAATAAATAATTATTAAGCTTGTAAATTTGTAACACAAGCTCACTAAAAAGATATTATATAATGCTTAATATCACTTTATCATGGTTAGTAGCAATCCAATGTGAAAGTTAAAGAGTAAATAACTAAATAATTTTAAATAAATAAATTGTTTCCATGATCACTACAACTTCAGTTCATCAAATTGCTGTAACACTATATATACCTAGAGAAATAAAATTAATATCCTGTGAAAAGAGAAGTATAAATATACCGCATTACAAAATATTTAAAAATACAGCATATGAGAATCAAAATTTAATTAGAATATATTATTTTTGAGGCTCATGTTCTACAAATGTAAAGTTTATAATGTCTTAATTAGCAGTTTCTATATTTATACTTATTCTCCTCACACAACGTATTATATTTTTATACAATATTTATCTGCTAAATACCACTGCAACGTGGTATGTATGAACCTAATGACCTGCTTAAGGAAAAGAAAACAGTGCACACTAGAGAATATACTAAATCCAGTCAAGGTACACAGTATTCATTTGTTTTTACAGACAGACAACCATTTGCATAAATTAGTTTTATATATGCAACAATAAAAAAAATAAACTTAAAGCAGATTTCAAATGCATTTAATCATAAACAGAGGCATGATGTTCCTCACATGAGACTTTATATTAATCAATATGTAATATCATATATGCTGTGCTGTGCATGTAGCACACACACTGCAGCTCTGTGATGAATTGTCAGACTGTCTAGGGTTAGAAAAGCCGGCCAGAAGGCCAATATCCGAGAAACGTGGCGCACATCATCTCACATCATAGCAATTTCACAAATTGTATATTTTGCACTATGAGTCTGTCGATAATATATGCTGTATATAAAGTCGTAGCGACAATTAAATCCCATTATTTAAGATTAATTTTTAAAATGGCAGGTGTCAACACATCTCTGCGTAAGCCACCACGTAAGCCTCGTTTCATACTCTCGTGATGGGAAACATAAGACACAATATGACAGCGTGAACTTACCTTTAAGCGTCACCGGTGGCTCATTTCTCCATCTTCAGAATCAGCAATGCTCCTTTACTTTGACATTGAAAATTGATATCCTCCCGGGGCGTGAATTTCGGTCAAAGACGCCAGTATTTGAAAGACGTAAAATAACAGCAGAAGTGTTGATAATTCTTTAGTGATTGGAGGTGTTAAAGTGGCCGTCTGCACTGCGCGTTGAGCAGCGCGTTCCTAACTCGTAGGGATCATCTATATTGTTGTGTACTGTGTAGTGTCTCTCTCTCTCTCTTCCTCTTTCTCGCGCTCTCTTGCTTCCTCCCTCCCTCCCTATCTCTTTCGTTCTCTCTCTCCCTTGTTGTCATGTACGGCATAATACTGATAACAAATAATGTCTGCGTGTCATACTTCCTTCATTCCAAGTGTGTTAGTAGAAAGCACAGTGGAACATAACATCAAAAATGTTGTAGTGAAATAATACCTAAATTAGCATTTTCTTCATTACATTTAAATATTATGATTTTTGAATGAACTTTCATGCACACATAATAAATGTTTTCACTTTTCACAACAGATTGAAACAATCGTAACGGTCCCTAACTGCTCCTCAGAACATCACAGTCTGGCTTCCTCATCTTCTGAGATCTGTTTCCATTTTTTTTTTTACAGTAGATGGTTTCCACACGCGCGACACGCTACATTCGTTTGAACATTCATTTATAATTACATGTATACGTGAGATATTTAGATGTTCAATACTCCAAAATTGTATCATTTGTGCAGGCCAATAGATCTTTTGAATCTGTTCACCAAATAGATTAATTCACTGATTCGTTTAGTAAACTTTTCTGCAAAACAATTTACGCCAGAAGGTGGAGGGGTGGACAACTGTTATAAGTGAATCTCTGAATCATGATTAATCATTTAGTAGTTCAAACAATTAACTTTTTATTCTCAGCCCATACTCGAATGCTTTTGGCTCATGATAACAAAGGGCTGTGAAACGATTAATAGCATCCAAAATAAAAGTTTGTGTTTACATAATAGCCTATATGTGGGTGCACTGTGTATAATTATTTTAATACACACACATGCTTGTATTTAAGAAATATTTTCATGTATATACTGCACCCACATATATTATATAAACACAAAATTTTATTTTGGATGCGATTAATCGCGATTAATCGTTTGACAGCCCTGGCTATAACCATTTTTTTTTTTTACAGTCTATGGTTGTTGTAACTCTGGCAGCGACTCTAGAAGGCACATAAACCAAAATGTAAACAGTGTGGTGCAGAGCATGTTTTACTAGTGTTATTCGACACACCAATTACCATGTGATATGAGATGTGTAAACGCTGAACATCACGCACAGAAAAATTTAATCTGTTTCCTCATTTTTAAATAAATAACCAGTCAGACATGTCTTCATAGTAAGGAAGGTCTAATTCTGGATGCCACTGACAGCGAAATACGATTATGGGTCCATGGGGAAGTCACTTAAAAAGCAGTCATTCAGTCACAAATAAGCATGTCTGCTTTCACCATGCACATGTCTAGTAAAAGCTTTTTATTTTATTGCAGAGAATACTTAAATCAAATAAATAAGAGAGAAAACGGTGTGATAAACCCTCAAGTGATAAAGATTTGTAATGCATTTATATGAAAAATAATATCTTATACTCAAACAGAGTACAAACTCTAGTCCATTTATCAAAACGCAATTGAATCTAGGACATGGAACTGCAGGTAATTAGCCACATGCTGTTTAATAATCTGCACACACATTTATATGTCTTTTCAGCCATATCTAAAAGCAGACTGTGGTGGTGCTGTGATAATAACAAGCTTCTAAAATGCACGGAGAGCTCGCAGCTTGTGAAAACAGGAAGTGTGTGTGCAGAACAGAAACTCTTGAGTGAAATAAAGCCAAAGACCCCTGTGCCCACATCCGCCCACCTTCACCCTCCTGCCCACCCACCAGTCATTGCAGGCCAAAGTGCACCTCTCTGCCAGACAACCGATCACCGCAGGGAAGTTACTGGAGGTGATGGGGAAAACCAAACACATGAAATGTCATTACAGCCTCTGTCTGAACTAATCAAATATAGCTGTAGAAAGAGGCCTCAAATGCCTTTAAGGGAAATTATGGATGGACACACAGCCCTGCTTGACTGCTTCTCAGACCATGGCCCAGTAGTCCACTTACAATGCATCAAACTCTTTCAAATTTAGCTGTTAAAACAAGTCTTTCCTCACCATGGCAACATGCTTCAGAGCCTTGGGATTCTGGCACTCTTGTCTTTCACTACAAATGATCTCCTTTGTTCAACCAACCAGCAGCTTGAATCTGATGTTTTTATGTCAAGATAAAATGGTAGCCTATAATATTTCTCTAGGCTATATTAAGTAGCCTAGATAGTCAGCGATTATGCTCAATAAGCAGAAAACGCAGTTATATCGGAGTAAGGTCATAAATGGTCGACTTTCTCCGAATTAGCACGGCATGTAAACTCATAAACATAGGCTAGACATAACCTGCATGCTTTCTGAAGTGCGCATGCGTAGTACGTGACAGAAACGCATCCTGACAGAGCGAGCGTTTTGCAGGAAAGGAAGAAGGAAATATTATATCACAGACTCTTTCATGACCCAGAAAATTATAAAAAAAAAATATGTTCTCATCTCGTGCAGCAGAAGTATTAGTTTAGTCGCTGCATCTGTGACTGCATGAGAGGAGTTTCCCCCTGACATGTTGTAAGCTTGACAACCGACATTACAAATGAAAAACTTGGAGTCAGATACGCAAATTACTGTTTTAACGTCACACAGGGACATGACCTGTTTTATTAATAAAGTCATGTAAACGCGCTTTACTCAGGTTACTGGTTTGCATGTAAACGGAGAAAACTGGTTATTTCACTAAGCTCATATGTGAGTGAGCTGATATGTGGTGTGCATGTCTTGCACATCAGATGACTAACCAAAATTGGGGTCAGTGGACTAATAGCATCGAATGGACACATATGAGTTAGGCTAGTTCATGTCAACTACAAAATCTCATGCCTTTTCCTGCATGAAAACCCGGTGAATGGACTCATAGGAGAAGCTGCCTTAATTCTACTGTATCAATATCAATAATACTTTTCACATAATAAAATTGCCTATGTTTAAATTAAATCTATAAGTAGTGAAAACGTATATGAACTGTTATATGAAAACATACAACATGACAACAGTTAATTTGTCAAAGGCCAGAAGGGGGAGCCATTTAGTTACAAAGTGTGAACATGGAATTAATAGAATTATGATCTTGCTCCTCATATTAGATTATCTAGCAAATTGTCATTTATCATCAATTATTTGGCACTGTACATACAGAATTTACACATATATTATATATTATTTTCAAATCAAACAATTAAGTTTGTACTGTCGTGCTACAAATACATGTTTTTTTTTTTTTTGTTAGTTTGACAAAATGTAATTTGTGAAATAAAATAATCGAGACATGTAAAACCAGTTATCTGAATTTTATCAATAAAAAATTCGAAATGGTTGTGAACATTTACATATAAAAATATTTTCAAACTCCAGAAATATTACACCAAACATGTATATTCAATATACAAAAACATTTTTAAAGACAATCCATCTTTGCATGTGTAAAGAACTCTTGTAAACAACTTGTGCAAAGAGTTTCCACCAAATAAGCAAACATATTTTAAAACAGTAAACTGCAATGCAAAACTGTACATTTAATTTTAGGATCTTGAGCCCAGTCCATCGCAATGGTAAAAATAAATAGGCTATGCTAACCGTGATATTTGCTGAAATTTATGAAAATTAACTTGCCTAAGCATGAGCGTTCGAACAGCTCCTCGTCTTCGGAAGTTAACAATAATTAAGCAGTGTTTAATTTATGAAAAGAAACAAAACACAACTGCAACACCACAGGCTAATAAAACTAATGCAACCATCTCAACAAACGTGAACGAATGTAACTTCATTTCGTGAAACGGCACATTTAGGCTAACATTTCCAAGGGTTATCGTAACAAAAATAAATCTAGATAAACTGTCAGCCTACTTATATTCAGTTTTCCCATGTCAGTCCATCAGTCAAATGGATGATGTCCCAGTTCAGGGTGGTTCTGCGGCGGGTAGCTGCAGGTGGAGGTGGAGATGGAGCTTCCGCCCGGGCTCACCGGCGGAGTCATGCCGCCCAGGGACACCAGCGCGTTCGGATGCCGGTGGTACGGTCTGTAGGACGGGTGAAAGTGATGGTGATGATGACCCTGGTAATAACTCACGGGAGAATTGGCGTAATCGTTTGGAGACAGAGGGCGCGCGTTACCGAGGATGGGCTGCAGGTATCCGGAGATGTGCGTCGGAGAGCTGGACTGGTGACTCCAGGAGCTGGTGTTGACGAACTGAGTTTGCCAGTAAACAGGCTCCGGTTGCACTTGCAGGCAGTACGTGTCGGTGAAGTTAAATCCAGAAGGTAATGGTGGTGGTCGGTAGGGTCTCTTGACGCGCCTCCTGCGCCTGTAATTGCCTTTTTCGAACATGTCGTTGAAAGCCGGATCCAGCGTCCAGAAGTTCCCTTTTTTCTCCCCGCCGTTCTCCCGGGGAATCTTCACGAAACACTCGTTGAGGCTCAGATTGTGCCTGATGCTGTTCTGCCATCCCTTTTTGTTCTTTTCGTAGTATGGAAACTTGGATATTATGAAGTTGTAGATGTCATTCAGCGTCAGCTTCTTATTCTCGCTGTCTCTGATGGCCATTGCAATGAGAGCCACGTACGAATAAGGAGGCTTCTCAGGTGCTGGAGCGGCTCCTCCATCCCCTGCTGCGGTACCCGGGACGTCCTCTACGGTCTCACAGGACTGCTGGTCCCCAGACCCCGCGCAGCGATCCATGAGATGGGCTTGAGGTCTGTCCGAATTTAACGCGGAGAACCTCTGTGGCGCACAGCACAGGTGTAGAGTTAAAAGTGTCCAGGTGTGCTTCAGGTTTGCTTTAGTCTCCACCTACATGCCCTGCCTCCTGAAATACTGGTCAAAAGTTCGCAAGTTCAACATGAAAGAGGGGCGCGAGGGTCGCAGACGTATTTTGACTGCTTGGTAAATGTTACAGTAAACATTTGTTTGATGTCTGCCGGCATAGGCGCTATTATTGACAGCGCAACGACCAACATCAATAAAATAAAATAAAATAAAATAAAATAAAATAAAATAAAATAAAATAAAATAAAATAAAATAAAATGCATTTTTCGTTTAACCCCTATTATAAATAATGTCAATTATTGCGCAAGTTAATTTAAAATATTAGTTTCAATATAATAAAAAAAACCTAATACAGTTTTCAGTGTCAGCATGCTTGCTATCATTCTAGCACTTCATTTGTCATATTTTAAAAGCATTAATCCGTTGCTTTAATAATAATAAAAAACAGGACAAATAATTAATATTAACAAATCATATAACATTCAAACACATATTGCTAATGTTTTGTGCTGCGCATGCCTCAAGAACAAAGAGCATCAGATTTGTGAACTCAGGTTCCCACAACTGTTTTCCCACCACTGGCCCGTCCAATCACAGACAGCAAAACCCCATCAAAGACACCGCTTGTTAAGATCACAATGAGGCGTAGCATCGGTATTATCAACATAATACATAGGCTATACAGCTAGACGTACGTAAAAATGTAGGCCTATTCTATAACTTTATATCTGTTGATAAGGTCTCAGAAATATTTTTGAATAGGCCTAGCAAAATATATCTCAAATGGAAAGTAATTTAAAATTGGCACTGCGGTGTTTTCTTGTCTGATAGTGATCATGGACTGGAACGAATGAATTTTGTGAAATTATACAAAGTAGCAATATCAAAGTAACAACTCGTAGCAGTTGTGTGAATTTGGATTAAGACTGACATGCATGCAATGTAAACTTGAATTGAACCAGAATAAAACCATTTTTATAGCTGCATGTGTGATATGTTCTGCATTTTGTCATTGGATGAATCCTGAGTTTAGAGAGCTTGTTTTCCCCCAATATATATATATATATATATATATATATATATATATATATATATATATATATACATTTGGGTTACACTTTATATTAGGGTGTCCTTGTTACAGTGCAATTATACATTTAAGTGGCCTACTGAGTAATAATAATTAATAACATGTAGGCTATGGGGCGAGGATTAGTTCCATGTCATAGTAATCACTATAACTTCATGTAACATGCATAACAGACACTCTAAAATAAAGTGTTACCTAACATTTGTTTGTGTAGAAATTGTTAATGTCCATTCATCATACCATGTTTGAACATTAATTTCGACAAGTTTGATCTACTAAATATAAAACCGGATTTGTGTCATGAATTCTTGTTAAATATGCTCATTTGTACATTACTGCAATATTTTTCCTGAGAATTAGCAAATTCACTATATCTTAATGATTTATGCAATGTACAGAATATTTAATTGATCGTAGATTAATAATACCACAACCGGAGTGTGGCTGAAGATAACATAAAACATTCTTACAGGAAGATGCATGTATTAACTTGCCCTTTTTACTTTTTTGGAATTTCCCACTCAACTAGATCCTTATGTGCATTGACAAATACAGTGCCTCAGATCTTCAGTTACCTCAATTAAAGTTTGCACATTCATACACTGTAATAGTAAATTTATCAGTGAAATCTATTTTCTCCCTTATAAAGAATGCAAATTGCCCAAAAGTATTGCATTATGAAAAAATGGAGAATAAACAACCTTACTCATCTCTCAAATAACCACCCACTCAGAGCTGCAAAACTGAGATACTGTATGAGATACCTATAGTGAGAGAATCGAGATTGTTATCATTCTCTCAGGAGACAGACTGACTCCACTCAACCAATGATGGAGAAAGATAAAATCTGTTACTCTGGAATACTTTTCATAATATACTTTCAGTTTCCATAGTGTATTTATTCCTTACATTGTTTAAAAACATTGCTCTCTAATAACACATTAATTCAAAAAGGAAACGTGCAAGAACAGGCAAATGTTTCAAGCATCATGATACGGATAAGTTTTACCTTAAGGAAAAGGTCAAGAAAAACCCTTCATATCCATCTTCACGGTTGACCTTTTCCTAAGCAACTGACTTGCAAATACATGTTCAGATTTTCTGAATACTGAAAGTTTAAGCCAAGGAAAGTGTTTACTCAAGAGATAGCATTTAAAAGTTTTCATTGAAAACGTAGATATGTCACACAGAAGACACAACAATATGTGACAATTACAAGAGAGATTTATTTCAATCTGGAAATGGACACCTTTATCTTATGTACAAATTATCCATCCTATTTCCCTTGACATTATGAGTCAATCATAAAACAGAGGCTCAATGGACACAGTAACAGACACTTGCTAAACACAACATTTCAGTGTCACATAGTTGACAAGTAGATCAACACAAACATATTGCACCTTATAACATCACATCATTTTGATAATGATATGACGCCATTATCCTTTGAGGAAATTGGATAAACAGAAACAGTTAATGTACAGCAATATGGCAAAAAAGCCAAATGACTTTTTAATAAAGATGTCACATGCCCAACAAACATCATTCTGTTAAACGAAATGGCACAATCATTCATTCTGATACACATCCAGTGTTTAAAAACACAGAAAAATGATTGAACATGCTAAAAAAAACATGTTTTTACATAGCTCATACTTCACGGCATAAAGTAGAACTTCGCTGTTGTGTATTTCAGTTTAGAGAATACGGTTTTCTCATTTATGTGCGCCAGGAAACAATCCTTTCGTATTTCTGCAAATGCTGAGCAGCAAGAATAAAGTTGTAGTTGTCACCCAAGAGAAACGTTATTCTCTTATTTCCTGTAAAGAACACATGTGACAAAGACCAGTGTACGTCTCAGTTTGACACTAAACTCCTGAGGTCTGACCTATAGTCTCATCTCCAATTGTAATAGAGATAGATGCTTATAAAGGTTAGGTTAATGGTCAGGCTGGCAAACAGTAGACCAGGCCAAAGCGTCAGGCCCAAAAAAACTGTGGAAAAACACACAAAAACAAATAACTATGCAGAACAGGGTAACCAAATTAGTTAAAACACTGCCATTGACAAAATTCCTATTCTTACCCTTCCATCCAGCCTTGCTCTCTGTTTCATTTCCTGTGGTCGTGTCTACATGGCAGTTTGAAGATGAAGAGGAACTGTCCATTCGCTTTTCCACATGCTCAAACACACTGCCCTCATCGATCAGTGAACCTGAATCCCCAACAAAATCACATCGAAATCATTATCAAAAGTTCAAGAATTTTAAGAACAGAATAAACAAAGGTTTGCCCACAAAACCAATAAACAAATTATATGAGGATTTTTAAATAATTACTTCAGTTGTTATCAGTAAAATAAATATCATTTTGAAGTAATACTTGTATTAAAAAAAATAGGCCGAAGAATGTTTCTTAATAACAGGTTCACATACAGTGGCTCCAGAAAAACATTCATATTCATTCGTAAGAAAAAAAAAGGCCACTGTCAAAAACATAAATGTTAATAAAAATATTTTTTATCTTAAAATCGACATAAAAAAGAAGTTACGATCAAATTTTCTTCCCTGCCATGACGTGTATCCGAGTAAAATGGCTTCTCAACATTATTTTGATTAAAAATTACAATAGCATGTAAATTAAAAAATGATGTTCACGAATAAATCATTTATAATAAATATTGCAATATTCCATTAAAAATATCTCAATTGAAATTTCATGGTGACTTTAAGGGCCACTGTATAATATCGATCAGCTCAAATGGTCAACAGAAACACATTTTCTATTAAGGATTTTAATCTAGATTAAAAAATATAAATATATCCAAATGTGTCCAATACCATGATTCTGTGAATGGAAGTGAGGAACATCAGGCAAGAATGCTCTGCTGTGCATGTGGATTTGCTCTGAAAGACAGGAAGGCGGTGAGGCCAAACTGAAAGGCTCCAGAGGAGAGCAAAAGAGCTGCAGCTTTTGCCCACTGATGTTGAGTCTGGCCGGGCTGATGAGCGGCCGGCGCTGCCTGGCGGAGCTGGAGGTGGAAGTGACGGAGCCTGCCACGGAGGGGGTTGGAGACGGTCCAGGAGAGGCAGGTCGGCTGCCAGATTTTAGAGAGTAGTAGTCTATTGAAAAGATTAAATTATCAATGAATTTTTCATATATGATTTATCGGATTTTAAGTCAGAACGATGTATGAAACCATTGCTTCGCTTATTTTGAGCTACCTGAAGGTGGCGAGTCTTTACACTGTAAGGATGGTCTACTTCCACTAAACAGGAAACCCGAATCTAAAAATAAGCACAAACAAGATGTATATATTACTTTTGTTATATATATATATATATATAAACACAACCCACACATTGGTATAACAACCTGAAAAAAACAAAGTGGATTTCCAAGTAAAACTCTGTCCTATACCGATAAGCCATTCATTATTTGCATGTTATTGCTGATAACTGACAAAAAGCAGATATTATAATTCAATACTGTATTTAAAAAAACAAAAACCATTTCTAATAACAACAAAAACTGCTAGAGGTTGATTTAGACATCACAAAACTATAAATGTAATATTAAGTATGAAAAATGTATTTGTATTTTTTTTATTTAAGTGAGCATAAGTGTTGAAAAGGGGTTGAAAAAAAATGCATACATTAGCATTGGGGTCAGTACGATTTTTCTTTTTTATTATTAATGTTTATTATTTTTTTATTTAACTATTTATTAATGTTGTAAACATTTTTTTGTAGAAAATTGCACTTTTTTCAGGATTCTTTGACGAATAGAAATTTCAAAAAGGACAGTAACATTACAAATGTGTTTATTGTAACATTTGATCAATCTAATGCAGTCTTGCTAAATTAAAGTTGTTTTTTTCCCCAAAGTAGTACAATTTTTTTTCTACCATTCTTTCCATGGCTACTTTCTCAATGTCAAAGCAAGGTGGCCGGCCCACAAAAAGGCTGACAGAAACTCCAAGCAATTTATACAAAACAAGCATCGAACAGTAAAGAAGGGTCATTTAACGCTCTCCTACTACTGTCATTCCAGGAATGTCTCCATATGTGGAGCCAACACAGCTGCAGCCATAGAGAAGAGCTCCATCACCACTGAACAATACAGAGCAGACGGGTGAAGCTGCATGATGGAGCAGGTAAAGGCCCCGCTCACACAAAAGCATTGATGAGTGATGTGCTAATGATTCTGTTAAAATGAGCTCACTAGACTCTGATATTTCTTAAATAAGAATTAAACATACTTTTGTTAGCGGTTGATAAATTAACAGATTCAATTTCAATTCCCACCTCTATATGATGCAATGAGATTTCTCAGACAAGTGTGCGTGATTAAATCCCGAGCATAAAGATCAAGCTCTGGCTCTTTTTAAAATCACACCTGCCAAGCCGCTGCATCTGATTACAGGAGGCTGACGTTCGTCTGAAGATCCACACATGAAACAAACCATGATTCTCCTACCGTCTCACAACAGTCATTTAAACACCACTCCCGACATCATCCTGATCCCAGTCTTTGAAAGCCTGTGTGTATTACAAAGTCCCGTTTACCGATCGGTCAAAGTTAAAAGCTATGGTAAACCAAGCTGTTGTCTCTGCAATTTTGTTAGGTTATGCAAAGTCAAAGTCAATTTTTTTTTTAAATACACAATCAAAAAGAAGGCAACAAAACATATATTATTCTTCATCCAAACATTTCTGTTATTATTTACTAATTTCACAAACTGGCTGTTTTATTATCATAAAATGTGAATTTTTAAAGATGATTTTCTTCACAATATTGTTCTGCATCAAATTTGATGCAAGAGCAGAAGCAGAGGGCATTATAAGAGAATAATGTTCCTCACACAACTCGGACCTGTGGTCAGTATATGTTATTGCATAAAGAAAAAGACTTCACCTGAAAAAATAACAGCATACAGTTTCAGAACCAAATGACGGTGAGTACAAAAATTACATTTAATTTATAGGTTCACAATTCTTTTAAATGTAAACAGACAAGCTGTTAATCAAACAATGTAAAGAAGTCACTTCCTGTAACTCGAAACCCATCTGTGATGGGAAAATCCCAGTAACATGCAGGTAGCCAGAGACATCGTACAGACTTATTTCTCAATCGCACTTCACTTTTCTTTGGCAGTTGGCAAAATTCCCCAGCTAGGTGCGGCACCGTCTGGGGTGAAGAGTGAGCAGAGTTCCTTTTACCATGTATTCACATCAGTCAGTGACCCACATCTTTCCCATCATGCACCTCTGCACTAGTTCCACAAAACAGCACCTGGGGCCTCTTACTACCAGCACAAATCTCATCTTCACAGACAAAATTGTTCTACATTACATGGAGAGAGCACCCATTTTCATATTATATACAGAAAGTTCATTTTTCCTTAATTTGAATATTTATATCAGCAAAGGGTGCTATATGCACAGTTAATAAAAATATAAAAATGTAATTAAAAGTAAAACACTCTAAAAATACATTATACATCTGTATAAATATATATAAATATATTTATACAATATATATATATATATATATACACACACACACATCTGTGTGTATATATGACTCCCTTTCGCCTTCAGAATATATATATATATATATATATTCTAGGGCTGTCAAATGATTAATCGCATCCAAAATAAAAGTTTGTGTTTACATAATATATGTGGGTGCACTGTGTATAATTATTTTACTTATATATATATATATATATATATATATATATATAAAATATAAATACACACACATGCTTTTATATATTTAAGAAATATTACTGTATTTAAATTTATATTATATATAAATATTTTATATAAAAATAATATTTTTTTCTTAAATATACATGCATGTGTGTGTATTTATATATATATATATAAAATAACTATACACAGTGCACCCACACATATTATGTAAACAAACTTTTATTTTGGATGCGATTAATCGTTTGACAGCCCTAATATATAAAAATAGATGCATGTGATGTTAACATATTTTTTTAGGATGTAACAATAAGTAAAAAAGTGACGATTAGCATTTAGCGTATTTCTAACTCACCTGCTCGTGCGAGGGAGGGGATAGTCCCCAGAGAGAGGGCTCTGTTCAGCCGCCCAGGCAGCGAGGAGGGAGAGGCTTTGCGCGTTCTGTGGCTTTGTTGGCGGATGAGCAGCTGTGACAGGTTGGGGGGAGGCGTTGGGATGAAGGTAGAGGATCCAGACACAGGTGCAGACAACAGGGGACAGTGATTACTGTAGTGCGGCTCAGGAGAACTGCCAGACAGATACCTGCAACAGACAGAGCAGAATTTACAAAGTAACTGCAGTAAAAAGATTTCCACAGAATTTGAAAAAAAAAAAAAAAAAAAAAAAACTGAAGATACAGAACATATGAAAATTGTTGCAGATGCTGTATAAATGGGGCATCTTATCATGGCTCCCAATCTGAATCAACTACAGACAATATAGATTTCAGTGAAGTAAAGATTTCAGTGCAGATAATAAAAGTAAATATAAACAAAACATGCAATTTAGGCTAGCATATCTGCAAAACATATGAAATCATACATCAGTAGTGTCTCAGTCCATCTCAATTCAGAAATTTGACACTGTCACACAGATTTCTTGGTTATGATTCACTGATTTATGAAAGCACAACAGCTTCCACCTCAAACAATCTTCAAGTTAAACTAAAATCGAAATAGTTTTGAAGAAATGTCAAAACACAGTTCAAATTTTATAAGCGTTTTATTTCACTTCGTAATAGTGTTAAATAATACAAGTAAAAAAAGGCAATACAACTCAATTATAATACAGCGATTGCTCCAACATGCTGCTTTAATCAAAGCACAATACTCAAAACATTATTACAACAAATCTGAGCTTAAGTGTCTGGACGCAAACAGTTTTCACACTATTTAACAATGCAGTTTGTCATTTCACATTATATCTTCGGGGTCATTCTAGGTCAAAAATCACAAGGAACCATTAATCAGGTGTTGATGACATACCAGAAACCGCACAGCAATGCCAAAAACATTTCAGTTGGACGTTCCTCAAAATCAGACAACTATGAGCCTGCGAACAATGGCCGATCAAAAAGTTCCAAAAACTTGAGATTTGAGAGTTACCTTAGTAAGAAACTGGATTTGGCAGGATACCAATATAAAAATTGTCCATTTCCAAGCTCTCTCTGTCATCACTATGCGCCTTCTGATACAACATGCACAGATCTGTGATTTCACCTTGACAGGTCTAACAAAATAAATCCTTAACTTACTTACTCACATTTTAAAATCACATGAAATTTTGGAGACAGACATCATATTACCGAGCAATCTAAACTGTCAGGTAATAAACAGGTAGTCAATGAAGGATCAAGTATACTCTCAAAAATACAATGTGCTGCTGTGCTAAATAAATGTTATATATGGTTTTGAGATACTTGTATTAATGTCAAGTCGAAATACACACTAATAGTATTTACTAATCATCAGTCTTTGGCAAGCAAAACTATGATAATGAGAATACAGCAAACTAAATATTCAAGAATACAGGCATCTACAGTCAAATAAGAGATGTGCCACTAACATATCACTATCATAAACGTTACCTAGTTAAAGGGATAGTTTGCCCCAAATTTTTAAAGTCTATCACTATTTACTCACCCTCAAGTTGGTCCAACCCTGTATAAATTTATTTCTTCTGCTGAAACCAAAAGAAGACATTTTGAAGAATGTCAGTAACCAAACAGTTGATGGCCTTCCATAGTATGAAAAATAAACAATCATGGAAGTCAATAGAGTCCATCAACTGTTTGGTTACTGACATTCTTCAAAATCTCTTCTTTTGTGTTCAGCAGAAGAAAGAAATACATACAGGTTTCTGGTCTCATTGACTTCCATAGTATATTTTCTTTCCTAATATGGGAGTCAATGAGACCAGAAACTGTCTGGTTACTGATATTCTTCTAAATATCAGAAAATCGGCTGAATGGATTCGAAAACGGTAAAACTCAACTGTTTAACTCTGGGGGAGTTGTAAAATGAGCCTATTTCCCTAAAAAAGTGGAGTATACCTTTAAAGGAACAGGAACAACATGAAGGTGAGTAAATGATGACAATTTTCATTTTTGGCTGAACTATCCCTTTAATGGAGCTTTGCATTGGCACATGTCACCTTTTGGCAACACAAAATGCTAAATATTATAGCTTGTCTCACAAACAAGCATGTCAAGAACTTACAGTATGTTGGGAGTGGACGAGTACCACAAGATTTGTATGAGTTGATCCATGTCTAATGGAAATTTGCTCAAGGTACACTTGAAAACAGACTTGATTTAAATAACAGAAAAGTTGCAGACGGTAAATGTCTAAGTCACATTAGTACTTCGATCACAGCAAAAACAAACTTCATAGCATATGCCACATGCATACAGTTACGTGGGAAATACAGTGATGAAAATCTACAAAAACATTCATTCAATCTATGGTCGTACTGTCACATGATGTCACACGTTTCTAAAATACAGCAAAAGTACAATACTTAAGAGAAAATTACAAGAAAGTACAAGCTTTGATCGTTAAAGTTTTGAAAATGTGTCTCTTTTTGTACGAGATGGCTACATGTTACTGAGGTTTAGTGGTTAGTAATATTCAAACTAAATGGCATGCAATAAAATGTAGTGCATTTGTTACATTTTACAGTATAGTGTAATAATGTTCACAATATAATAAGCATAGTGCTATGCAAAGTACTTGGTTAGCCAATTTTCTGTGTCTTTAAAAATAAAATATTGCATAAATTCTGTATTGATGTAATAATTGCAAACTGGTGGTGGAGACAGACTTTATGACTGGAAATTCAGGTTAATGTAGATTCTAGTTGAGAGAGGCTCAAGGCAAAAATATTTGACATAGACTTCTCAAATGTGTTCTGCTGTAGCCAAACATCAAAACCGAGAGCACTTGAGCTTAAGTATAACGTGTTTGTGCGTTAGCAACTCAATTTGTTAGATTGCAAATATGAGATTTGTGCAGTATTGGCATAATACACTATCTTTGTTTTAGTTTTTTTCATATAGTTGACACAGCAAGGCATTTTAAGTTGTAGATGATGTTTCATAAATGTTAAGCCACTTCCATGCTGCAATGGATCAGGGGTTTAGTACTCAGTACAAGTATACATGGAGTGGGACAAATTCCCAATTCCTCAAGCACCATTTCAATTTCTTGGTGAATAATGCAATAACAGTATTATCCACAGCCACATGCATAAAAAAACATTCACTCATAGAACTAGTCTGTATCATTTCCAGGTACCTTAACTGTTAATGCAAAATGTCTGAAATTGTGATGTTCTGCCTCTTTATCAAATTCGGGGCAAGTCATGCTCTAGCCAAGAAAAAAAGGCAATACACACACAGACTAGATTTTCTTTTATCTATCAGTACAGTTTTGAAGGCCTATTTAGCAAGTGTCTGGTCATGAAGGTTTATACTGAGTGAGTGTATTAGTTTTTTTTAGTATGAACTGAAGACAGTTGGAAGGACAATCTGAAAAAAATCAAACCCCTGTTTCTACATGTCCCAAAAGTGTCCCATAAAATATCTTAGCTTAGTGTCACTGCTCAGATTCTGACCTGTGACCTCTGGTTCTTCTTTGACTCGTGGATTTGTGCGTTGCCACAGCGGCAGCGAATCCCACCAGACAACACACAGAAGTGATGCCAAACTTGACAGTTTCCAACCAGTCAGGGATGTCCGTCTTGAGGTAACACTCGGCCAGGTAAAAACAAATGACGAGGAGCCAAAGCACAGATGCCACAGCGTCGATCCTCCTCAACCTTTAAAAAGATAAAAATAAAAGTAATTATATGCATACATGTGTGTGTGTGTGTGTACTGCATACATATATACTATATATATATATATACACATATATACATATATACAATATATATATATACATATATATTAGGGCTGTGCAAAAATTAATTGCGATTAATCACATCCAAAATAAAAGTCTGTGTTTACATAATATATTTGTGTGTGCTGTATATAATTATTTTGTATACACACACATGCATGTATACATTTAAGAAAATGTGTTAATCTATATTATATAAATATAAATATTTTATATATGAATATGTATTTATATATATATATATATATATATATATATACAGAATTTAAGCGCAAATAATTCTTAAATATATACATGCATGCATAGGTATTTATATATACAAAATAATTATATACAGCACACACAAATATATTATGTAAAGACTTTTATTTTGGATGCGATTAATCGCAATTAATTTTTGCACAGCCCTAATATATATATATATATATATATATATATATACACATTCCACATTCTATACTGCATATACTGTATAATAAATATATGTATATATAATTGTTTTACAAATATATATACATACATATATTATATATACACACATATATCAAATGTTTAATAAAAAAAAACAAATATGTATATTTTTCATTGATTCACCTGACAGGTCCTGCCATTAGGACCCCTGTGATGCATGTTAGGACACCAATAGAGGCCACGGCCATCTGATGGTCACTTCCGGACTGCCAGATGAGTCGAACGTTCTCCACGGCCTCTTCCGGAAGAAGACCCACCAGATCGTCCCACATCTTTTTGGCCTCATCAGTCTTGCTTTCACTGTCGTTTTGGAGAGCAGGTTTAGGCGGGGCGACTCCGCTTAAGGTCTGCGTGAAAGAGGAGGCCACATCTCCAGATCCACACAAAGCCACAGCTACAAGGAAGGCACCGGCGAGAAACGCAAGGATTCTGAGCAAGATCAACCAGGTCGGCGTGCTGAGGGAGTAAGTGTTCTGTACAAAAGAGAGAGAAAAAAAAACTTGATATGGGAATAGCACTTAGTACTTGCATGCCATGTCTGATTAAAGACGAAATGTGAATCAACAGTAGCTGTAACAAAAAAAATAAGAAGGAAACAAAAGAAGCAAGTGAGAACAGGTCTTTCCTTATCTCTGGCAATCACTTCCACACATTTATCTGCGTTTTAAGAAAACACTAGAACCAGAGTAATCATTAATCAAACCTGATACATGCTACAAATGCAAACCAGGTTTAACAGTTTTATCTAGGCAACATCTAAATTCAGAGCATTTTTCCATGTCAAGCTCCTGGCACCTAATCAAGCTCCTAATATTCTCGAAGATACACTTCAGAGAGGTGTAAAAACATAAATCTTCCTGTAATTTTCATGTCAAGTCCTGTGGCTTGATGTAAATATATAGCGATCACCACCTTAATAAAGGCTTTATCAGCATCCCGACTGCGTCTGAGCTGGTGGTTGAAGAGCAGAGCCCGCAGCTGTCGGTTCTGGTGTTTGATGTAGTACTCCACTGCCGTCTGGCACGGCCGGCACAACTTGTAGGTCTGCTCGAGGTGGTGCTTATATACTTCGATCTCCTCATCATAGTTTTCCTGCCATTACGGTGGACATATGGCTTTTAATTTTACTGGTTGCATGCATGTTACAAGCTTTTCACATTATAAAAACAGACCTTTTAAAAGCTTATTTTAAAGTATTAAAATGTTTAGATTGAATGTCATATTGTATAAAAAGCTCATCTAATTAAGCAACAAGCTTTAACCCTTGGTTGCCTTGAAATGAAGAAATCAAACGAGTCAGTTATAAACCTACATCATCCCTGGGGATGAACGAGGCCAGCTGCTTAATCTTCAGTGTCTGGTTGTTGTTACACTTCTTGCACAGAAGCATCTGGCAATTGACCCAATGCAGAGTCTTCGGTGACTCAGGGACACCGGCGGAAACACCATGGTTGAGATGTTCCATGTATTGAGCAGGAATGGGTTTGTTGTAGTCCCCGTTCTACAGATCAAAAAAAGAAGCGCAAAACAAAAACTCACTTGCTTGACACTAAATGTACATTTATAGACCTTGGTGAGGATAGACACCATATTGAATTTTATGTGGATTACAACAATGCAGATTTTGTCACAAATTGTGTGTTTTTGACCGTTCAAGGCCAATAAGAACTCAGTACTCACGCGCCGTATGAGCAGCAGAAATGAGCAGAAATCATCTCTCATATATTGAAATTAGTTTAGGTTATTGCTCTTGAACGTAATCAAATATCTTGTTTTTAAACTTAAAGGCTTATAAACACATTCAAACGATAAGCTTTTTGACGTTAGAGCATGGCAATGTGAGCATAACCGCGATAAAGATGTTAGTCCAAAATCTCTACCTGTTTATTGTGACTACTGGTATCACCCAAACCTATACTTTAATTTAACAAAAATGCATTAAACTGTTCAAATGTGACAGTTAAGATGTTTATAATGTGACAAAAGTTTTATTAACATTTATTTGAAATCGTAATAGAAATATTTTAAGTCATCAAATAATACTGGAATTATTTTAAATTATTTCCAAAAAAAAAAAAAATGAGGCAGCAGAACTGTTTAACACTGATTGATGACAATAATAAGAAATGTTTCTTTAGAGATTTCTGACAGATCGTATGACGCTGAAAACTGGAGTAATCACAATAAATTCAATTTTTAAGAATCCTCAATAAGAAAACAGTTATTAAAAATATACATGTAATACATTATGCATATCATAAATCTCATAACATAATGCCAATACCTCCTGAAAGCCATTATACTGGTCGCAGTATGGACAATCCCAGCAGTTTCTGTTCCCATAGGGAACAATTGTGTCCTGATTGCAGAACCAACAATTCACTTGGACATGACTTGGCTTCTTCCTGTAAAATAAAAAGGGTCATATTTAGAAGAACTGCTGCAAGTTATTAAAAACAGATAAAAACTGTAATTCCACTACTTCCACTACTGTCTGTTCTGCAGAGAACAGGGGTAAAACTCTAACAGCAAAGGCAAGTAAATGTATAACCATTTATAGCTTAAAATAAATGAGAAGAGAAAATGCATCCATATATTTTTATTTGCTGAAATCAAAAGTTGTGTATCCAATCAAACTACAGTATTTTAGAGTGCATTCGTCTAATGAATCACACTTCTACTGAGATTTATACATAACATAAAAAAAGTCAATTGTATCATTCAGCTTATGTCCTGTTGATAGTAGTCCAGTAGTCCAGTAGTGTTTTTAGTTGCATTCATTTCCATGGGACAGGTAAGACAGTCATTGGAAAGTAATATAAAACCTGAACTTTGAATCTAATGCAAAACTGGGATTTCTTTTCCTTTCTTTTTTTTCAAACAGTACAATCAATCAGTGTTGCAGGACCTGAGACTGAATATCTAACAGTAACATGACTACCACAACTATAGTTTGATTGATTTTAATTGATGATTCGTTGACTCATTTTAGAGCTGATAAGGGCCTGATTAAATTGAAAAACCCAGCCAGTGATGATAACATCATCAACATCAAGTCAAGTAGTGCATATTTTTTTAATGAAATGGCAGAAATGTGAATGAATGCGAATTCAGGGGAAGCTTTACATATCTTACTACTCCATAGATAATTTAAAGGTGTAAATTAATACCATGGTATAGTATAACAAAATATGATTTAGCCTATTCACTGAATATCTAACCATTGTAATTAGTTTTCCGACAAAATAACAATAACATCAATAGATATCACTATGGTACTAACCAACAGTACAATCAGAAAAGGCATTTCAATGAGAATTCATAAAGATTCGGAAGAGACTCGATCATTACTTTATCGTTATTTTACAGAAGTAGCCATAACCGTAGTACCTATGACATTTTGGTGGAATCTATTAATATAATAGGTAATTTTTAGTCTGTTTTAAAAGCTGTAGCGCTAGTTTGTACAGCGCGCGCCACTCAAAGGTTGCGCGAGCACACGCTTTTTGCAGAACTGATGCAAATAGTGCTGCTGTGCATGTTAATTGAAGTGAATCGTAAAAAGCAATCGCAGTGTAGTTTATAGCTCTAGCTAACTCGTGTGTTAAACGAGGCCCAGCGACATCTTATGCTATGGGCAGGGTTACAATACCTGGTTGCAATTCTATAGATCAGCGCTCCTCCTGCAGCAATCGCCGTCGCTCCGACACCACCAACTACAAATGGCGGATATTGTAGTAATATTTGGTTAAAGGCCTCCATTGCAAAACGGGGTATTAATAGTAGTGTTATTTAGTAGAAACCACGCGCTGGAGTAGGTCATGCGGCACCAGAAGCGCGCATCAATCTACAACATGGTCATATCCAGGTCATGAGTGCGTGTCAAAATAAAAGTTGGACTTTGTACAAACATTCTAAACAAAACATAATAATGTAAAACTTTGATAATTAAATATGTAATTAAAATATAAAATTATAAATATTGAACTATAAATAATTAAATTATGCAATAACATAATTAGTATGTTAATGAAAAATGCTGCATATTTAACAGTAACAACATTTTTTATTATTTCATATTGTTTAGAACTTAAAAAAAGTATATACTACGAAATATGCAGGATTTTTCTTTAACTTTTAGCCATTAGCTTTATCTCCATTCGACCGGTTTCCTTCTTAGGAGTTTGCATTGCTGCTATATGCGCGGTGCATAAAATGATAGTGTATGGTGTACAACTGCCCTCTTGAGGCAACGTATGTAAAAGCCATTTATAAGCTTTACAAAGACATTACAGCATTACAGTGCATTCTTATCTTTCAATCACCTTAAAGTTTAATCTAAAATTTAGTATCATATCAGTAATCATAGGTTCAGTTGTAATTAACATGATTAAAAGCACGAATGCTGACATTACTTGATCATTCTCTTCTAAATTACAAATGATTCATAAGTGCCTCTCACTTTGTGTACAGCATTGTTACAATATCTTGTGGAGATAAGACATCTACTACTAGTAGGCTCAAAGATCATGTTCTTGTTTTGTAACCTCGTGTTGCTTCAAGTAAACAGCTGGGATCCTGTCATTTTCAAAATCTTGCCAACACTCATAAACTCATCCCAACAGACTTTAAAAAGGTGCATTTATTTATAAGACTCATTTCAACTATGCATTTCAAACAAAAACAAAAAAATAAAACAATTTTATAATTTAATTAAACCAACAGTAGTAGCATATGCATCAAGGCCCTCTTTCTCTGTAAAAGTTGAAAAATCGAACGTACAGTAAACAGATGAAACATTTCTAGCAAAGAGGTGAATGGAATTAATTGGTCAAACTCCAGAATGCTACCAGGTGTCACGAAGCAGGAAAGTATTACAAAATATTGCAACATGAGCATATCGGCTCCTAAAAAGTTATTCTATGCCGTAATTTCAGTATTATTTTCATTCCTTCCAAGAACATAAAAACTGGATCCACCAATGATTAACTCCAAAACCCTTGGACATGTACCATATCCTAGATCCAAAGAATTCAATGGACTGCAACAAAATACTGCTACTTAAAAATAAGAATAATTTAGTTAACTTAAAGCACTATTTGTATATTCAGATGACCTTTTCTGTACACTGATACAGTATACACAAAGAGCTATGCAATATGCGCCACTTACAGAACACAAACAAGCAAAACAGGTCCAATAACAAGCATTCAACTTAAATAAAAAAGTTGTTTAAAGTCTTTGGGTAATTCAAAAAAAAAAAAAAATCCCCATCCATGATGGATTCTATTCGGTTCACGTTAGCTGCAGGTCAAAAGTATTTTTTGTGTGCTTGTTGTGTGCAGGTTCATTTGGAGGGTTCACCCAGCAGATGGACAATGAGCTCATATGTAGACAGCACTATGGCTGTGTTGGGGATCTGTCTGATAAGCTGTGGAATGAGTCCTCTGTAAAAAGCCGCGTAGCCCTCTTCCACCGCCACAAGGCGCGCCGTCTGAAAGAAGTACTTGTATTTGCTTCCCTCTTCTCGGAGTCTCGTCCGAATGACCTCTGGAAGACACACCAGGAAAGGATGGTCATTAACAGTGCGAAGAAGAGGTAAAAGTTTCAGTACGTTTCATTATGGTAATGAGAAATCAGTTTTCCTGAAAATGTCATTACATATACATACATAGAAATTAAATTGTAATATTGTAAAGTTTTATTCAGTCCTGTGATGGCAAAGCTGAATTTTCAGCATGATTGCTCCAGTCTTTTCAGTGCTTCTTAATATTTGTGAAAACTGTGGTGCTTTTTTACAGGATTCTTTGAATAGAAAGCTCAAAAGAACGGCATTTATTTTGAAAAATATATTTTGTAATAATGTAAAAGTATTTGCAGTCACTTTTAATAAATATAATACTATAAGGCACAGATAATGTTATGAGATAATGTTGTAGCCCTCAATCGGGTCATGGGGTCTATACGACCCCAATCGACTTTTACTTAATAAAAAAAAAAGGTTCCCTTCATCTCAGTGGAATAAGATTTTGTGACTTTTCATACAATATCTATCTATAAACACACACACACACACACACACAAAAAACTGGGCTTGATTCGGTTGTTCTGAAGGTATGTAAAAAAAAATGTTTACACTTCTGGTCTTCGGGGGTCAATATGACCCTACATTGAAATGAATGGGAAATGAGGAAAAAAACAAAATAAATACGGCATAAATCTGAAAATTTTTACTCAGAGATGAAGGCCTAGTACTAGAGCATAAATGCAATGCATCATAAAAAAAAACAATATTTCAAAAATTCAAATGCAAGTTAATGGTGTGGTTGAGGAATTGTGTGGTATATGGATACAAAAGTACTTTATATCTCCAAAAACACAGCATTAATAAATAGATGAGAAGTAAACAAATATATATATATTTGTATGAATAAAAATGTATTTTTTTGTACAATTAATAATTTGTTGGGGTCGTATATCGTATAGACCCCGAAGCCCAGAAGTGTAAACAGGAAACAAAGACCATTTGAAGGTTAAATGAAAGTTGAAATGTGAAATTATGGTAAAAACAAAGTGATACTTAGACTAGAGATATCAAACTAAAACCGCCAGTAGGTGGTGGCGAGTCACTGTTTTAATGAGCGAGTCATCGAGTCTATCGTCTATCAGTTACTGTAAATCCGGCCTCTAGTTCATAAACGCCAGAGGAGAACTGACCCCCAACTGAGCCTGGGTTCTCCCAAGGTTTTTTTTTCTCCATTGGGTCACCTGATGGAGTTTTTCGGTTCCTTGTCACTGTTGCCTTTGGCTTGCTCAGTTGGGCATATTCAAATTAATTAACCAATCAGTAACACCCTTGATCAGCTCTACCAAACGTGGATGTTTTTCCACTAAGAAACGAACATTGTTATTATGTTTTGATTGATACTATGAAACTGCTTTGATGCAATCTATATTGTGAAAAGTGCATATTACTACCATTAAAAACAAGAACTCACAGTGTGTATGTTTTTGTTTTAAAAAGCATTTGAGTCTTAAATCGATCTCTATGCACAGTTTGTGTAAATATTTGTTCTTCATTCTAGTAAGTGCTAAACACCAATTTTACAATAGAATATTGTTGAGAACGGCAGTAATGTAGAACGATTTGCTATACTTTGCATGCAACCCATCATATGTACTGCTTGTGTGGATGCAGTCAGTTTTGACCAGTCTATGGTTTTGACCTCAAAAGATGAGGTCATTTGATTGGATGTCATTTATTTGACCTCCGTCACCTCACATACTTGTTTAGTTCGGGTACTACTGCTACAGAGGAAGCAATCTATGAAAATATTTAGACAGACTGGCTGATAGGTAATAACAACCTACCATGTGGATAAGCTATGCAGGAGGCGCAACCCTTGGCAAATGCAGCTGCAAACATGACCCCCAGGAAATCTGAAGCCCCTTTTTCAGTGTCGGTGGCAGGAGTGGTGAATCGACTCTGCGCTAGGTACTTCTTCAACGTCTCATAAATGAGGAAGCAGATCATTGTCTCCGAGATGCCAGCGTACGACGCCGTCAGGCCCCGGTAAAAACCTCGTATACCCTCCGTCTTGTACACATACCGCGCACATTGTAACGCGTTCATTTTCTTCTCCCCACGTGCCCTGGAAGACAAAGAGGACGAAATAACACATTAGAAGACCGGAGGGAATAATATGGAATACTTTACAGAGAACTTCCAACACAAAATAAATTCAAGCACTTTCAAGGACCTGTCTCTATGCATGTTTATTTTCAAACTTTCAACTTTTCAGAGCCTTGAAATCTTTTTTTCATATTCACAAACTTTAAAGGATTTCAAGGACCCGTGGGAGCATGAATACTAAAATCAAGGTCTTAGACTTTATAATGTTCACTTGTAACTTATTTTTGCATTGCACAATGTGGTTTGCGTGTAGGGTGGAAGGGAGAATTAAATGGCAGACTATTTTCAGCGTACCACCTGATATAATTCTCCCATTTGACCCTAGCAGCCGACGGCCGGCACTCTTTATAGCATAATTATAGAACATGCATGCTAAGCCTCGACTGGTGCGTCAAGGTGGATATTTGTACTGTGGCAGATTGGATCACATGCTTATCATCATGATGTTTGCGTAAGAGGAAGACTGTGCTAATGAGTTGTACATCCCATGCTTAAAACTCATTATCCTCACAGTATCTGGTAATGCATTACTTCTCACATGCAAATAGGCCACAACTTAAGGATCTAATACAGAAACTGTGTCATGCCCTCATGCAAGTTCCCTGTAGAGAGTAAAGAAAGGGTGAAACTACAGCATTAACATACTTTCTCTCAAGCTGCATTCTTGTTTTGACCATCCAGATGGGATTCATCAGCGAGTTTGTGATAAATGCTGAAAGGAAAACAAGGCAATTAGGGATCCAAACATTAACTTTTCTTTGTAAGCATCAAACGGTTGCAAAACTTTCCCTCTCGAGTTCTGGGAAACTGTTTGGGCAATATTGAATAGACGTTCCTTAAAAACCTTAAGGCCTCACCTGCAAAGCCTGCTGAGGACATGTGGACGACTCCACTGTTCGGCACAAAGATGCCATTGAAAGTCTCTTTTGACTTTGAATAAGCAGCAAAATAGATTGCCCTGGAGAAGAACAGAAATAGTACATTTAAGCGATTTATTCTGTTGAACTCATCACCGGTCACCCCCTGCTTCCTCTCTCCACGCGTAATTGCAAAGTTCCTTTTATTATGAAGGGAGATTCACACGAAAAGGCTGCCAATGTTTTATCTAGCCAAACAGCTTGCAATGAGAGTTCCTGAAAGTGCAGTACGTTCTCTTTGCTGAATGTCTGGAACAG